GTTTCTTTGACTCCCCATACGTGAGTTACCTATGTGGTCATACTAACAGTTTCAAACTTTCATGTACGCGTATCGACCAACAGAATTTTTCTTTAAGTATGTGGATCATTCTACCGTGGAACGCATCCCACAGGGAAGAATTGGCATCTGATTCCATGTTTGTGATTGAAAGGCAGTTTGATTGTTTGGTTTTTGATGAACCACGGCCATGGTTGCAGGATTATCTACGGTCAGCCATGAGCTTTGCTTCCGGCCTTCTTTTTCTACAAACGCATCCCTGCAGTCTTTATATGACTTGCCCGCCCGTAATCTTTACAAATAACTATTTTCTATGCTGATTGTATATAATTGCATTTATAATATCCGTTGTATCTGAATAGTCTCATCTAAAGTCCCCCCGTCGCCCTTAATGTACACATATGCCTGCATGCACCCTGTAGATTGTTTTAAGTATTTGGATGATAATGAAGTCATGTGTAAAATTCAATGCGATGTCTGCAGTTTAGTGACTGTGGTGAGGATGAGAAATCAGCTTTCACAGTCCTGCATTTTTCAGTTTATTTGGTAAGGTCTTTAAATACGTTATTGTTTATATGCCAACTCGTTCGATACAACTATACACGAACAATGAAAATCTTCGCTATTAAATCAGTTCTTGATTAATTTGAGTAGCATTGTTTGAAAGAAAAAATTCCCGGGGATCACAGGGTGTTTAGCTCAACTTCAGACTGTCGAGGAAAAACGGGGGGCACAAATAATCATCTCAGCGTTTCTCGAAGAGTTGCAGGGACGTCGCCTCCACGACTGACTGAGGGAGATCGCTCCATTTCTCCACAACCGTCTTCGTGAAAAATTCAGAACGAAGATTCAGCCCGGACATTGTTGTCTGTAGCTTCATTTAATGACCACGAAGATGAGGGGAAAGGGGTCTTTGAAACATGTCCTCAAAGGCAAGTTCATGCTCAAGGTCATGTATTGTCTTGTAGACGAGCATAAGATCACCTTTTTGCTGCATGTAACACAGAGGGAATAAGTTAAAGCAATTCAGTCTTTCTGTGTATGATTGGCTTTTTAAACCGTCCACCAGCTTTGTTACACAACTTTGTACTCTTTCGAGGCATATTTGGTCTTGTACTAGCCTTGGCCGCCAGGTTGTATACCATATTCTAAATGGGGCCGAACGAAGGTGCAGTTAACTTTCCCAAAAGGGTCGTTGTCGAAGGTTACGAACGCCCTTTTGATTGCATGCAGCACTCCCATGGCATTTTCTTACAGCTTTATTGCACTGCAGTGCTTGTTACACATCGCTCTGTATCCAAACCCTGAGATCCTTCTGTGAAGATTCTGCGGGAAGTCTACTGTCGTTCAGGTGATATGTCGACAAGCTCTCATTTGAATGAGAGTTGGTTCGACGCAGATGAAGGACGGCACACATCTCCACATTGAAATCTATGAGTCATTTCTCCGACCACGTTTGCAGTCGGCGCAGATTATCATTCGGACTCTTAATGACTTGCCAGGGCCTAACGTCATCGGCAAACATTATTTTGTCACATTCGAGTTCCTGAAGGCTGTCATTAACATAAAGGATGGGAAGCAAGGGTCCCAGAACTGAGTCTTGAGCCACACCAATAGTTACGTTCACCCATTCTGACATATCATCTCCGATACAGACACGTTGTTTGCGGCCGACCAGAGACGCCCTTATCCAGTTCAGAAGATCTCCCCGGATGCCGATGTCGCTCAATTTGTGAAGAAGACGTTGGTGTGGGACAGTGTCAAAAGCTTTGCGGAAATCGATGTACACGACATCGACCTCAAAACCCTCTTCTAAAGCCCTGGTCCAGATATCCAGAAAAGCTAGCAAATTTGAGAGGTAGGAACGTCCTCTCCGGAAGCCATGTTTAAAATCATACAACACGTTATTTTCTTCCCAAAATTTCTGTATAGCACTCTTTACTAGGGCTTCCATCGTTCTGCATGAGAGGCAAGTTAAACTAATAGATGCGAAGCTGCTTACTGCCATCCTGCTACCTCCCTTATGTAAGGCGACGAGGTTAGCTGTCTTCCACTGTGAGGGCAGCCTCACTGTTCTCATTGACAGCTTAAAGTGAGTCAAAATAGGCTTTGACACCTCCGCTGATAGCTCCTTAAGTATCAGCCCAGAAATCCCGTCGGGTCCAGTTAACTTATCTGGTTTTATTTGTCTGACGACACGTCCTACGTCTTCGGCGGAAAAGGCAGCAGTTTCAATGATGGCAGTATCTTGGCGCATTTGAAGCTCCCGGCCGTCTTGGTCCATTTCGAAATCCTGATTGTCTTCAGAGGATTTCATCTTAAAGAATGACTGAAAAAACGGAGGTATTAATTGCACCTTCTCTTCAACTTATAAGTTCCCAAGTCTATCGTTCAAACACGCACTTTCGTCCCTATGTTTCCTCCTACTGCCGACGTATTCATAAAACTTCTTGGGGCATGTAATGGATTCTGCTATCAGTCGACGCTCGAAAGAAGTTATAGCAACTCGTGTTTGTTTGTATCATTCCTAGCACTGCTCCTTATATTCGGTGAATGTTACTGGATCTTGAAGATGCAAATACTTTTTCGGCAAATTCTGTTTCTTCTCCACGGTCTTCCTTGTCATCGGTGTGACCAACGGCGGTCGCGCACTTGGTCTTGGTATTTTTATTGGACAATCGGAGTCAACTAGATGCTGTTTAATCCAGCGAAAGCATTGCCAGAATTCTCCCGAATCTTCCATGCTGACTAACCAGGTTTGCTTCAAAAGAGCACGTTTCGTTGCATTAAAATCACCCTTCCAAATATTCCTGCGCCTCTTGCTTTCTAGTTTTTGGTTCGGTAGGAGAGAGCACACGCAGGTAAAAGCAACATTGTCACCTAAACCGAGCGGTGGTTGTGGATTCACTTCACTTGTGAGCCCCCTTCTTTACTGAGAACGAAATATAAACAGTTAGATCGTTGTCCTTCTCTCAGTCTTGTTCCGAATTTTATGTCTTGAGTGAGGCATTCATTTGCTTTGATGGGACCCCGACGGGTCTTTAATAAATTATTATTATTATCGTTAAGGGAGAGTTACAGTAGCTAGTGGTCAAATGACTTGGGCGGGGCGTTTGCTGAGGGAATTTTCCGGTCCATTCCTGAAAGGTTAAAGTCACCCAGGAGAAGCAAGTTGTCCTACTGACATAACAACTCCAGTGCACTAAATAATTCCATATCGGCGATTTCATTCGAGCTCTTCAGTGGGTCAAACCACGTCCATTGTACTGTTTTAGACATGTGAACTACAGCAAATAGTCAAGGTACTGATTTCAGGGCGTATTAATCTAAGGGCATGAAAAATACCAGACGAATGGTTATAAATGAAATAAATAAATAGTTTTTATTTAAGACCCGTGGTGATCAGATCATGGCGAGTAAGAATAAATTTTTAGACGAATTTTGGAACTGGAAGAGAGCATCTGTATCATGCCTAGTACACAGTTGTTTAATGTTGTTGAGAATGTTTAACTGCCGACGAGATATCATGTATGAAAAACAGGAACAAAAGAGGACCTAAGACGACATCTTGTAGGACACCACTTACAATAGGGCTCTCATTGGAAAATGAAGATTCCACTAAGACCTTTTGTTTACGATTAGACAGGTATGACTTGATAAAGTCTATTAGGGGACTGCGAATTCCCAGAGCTTCTAATTTAACCAAGAGTCTTCTATGAGGCATTTTATCAAAGTCTTTACTATGGTCAAAATAAATAACGACAACAGATAGCTGGTCATTACGAGGAGAGGTAAGTAGATTGAGAAACGACAGATGACATGTTTCACAAGAGCGGTCTGGTAGAAAACAATGTTAGGAAGGGCTAATAACTTGAATGGCTATACAAAAGTCCGTAATTTTCATGGCGATGATTTTTTTTAATAATTTTGGCGAGAGAGGGTGTTTTATGGACACCTGGATAGTTCTGAGTATCAGAACGACAGCCAGATTTAAATACTGCAATAATAATATAAGTTTTACAATAGTCAGGAAAGAAGCCGTTTACAAGAAATACTGAAAAGAGTTTGCTTAGCAGAGGAGGAAAATCTCTTAGCTGTTTTATAATAGAGTTTGGGACATTGTCCGCACCTACTGAGCGCGAGTTAGTAAGCTAGTTTATCAGTCCTTAAATAGTTTCAGGAGCAAAACTGATGATGCTAGTAGCCTGGTCGCATCTCCCTTCCCAATCCTCGGATAGACTCGGAGTAATGTAACCGACCGCGTCTGGGTTCCTATCGCCTCGAGACTGGTTTTCAATTTTGCCACCTATTTGCCTTATTCAAGGCCACATACAGGCCAGTCCTGACTGACCCGCCTACTTAACCCTTCATGAAATCCATTATACAATGCCATATATTTCTGCCCTGTCGATGTCCGATTATAATCCATTTTATACCGCAACATGCGGGCCAGTCCTGTCCGAATTTTTCTGTTATTGCTTTTTCATCGAGGGGTTTTTTCTCCTGTAAAATTAATCCAGTCATTTTTAAATTTTCGTGTGGAGTTTTTTCCCCCCTCGCTAATCATTTTTCTTAACGGACTAATAATTCAGAAACTATGAATTGAACTTTGTACAGATTTTGCCTATGTCGTCTAAACTTCGCATGTAAATTTATTTTTTCTTGCTTTGATGGGACCCCGACGGGTCTTTAATGAACAATTATTATTATTATTATTATTATTAGACAACGGAGGAATTAAAGGGATTGTGTCAGTTTCAATGGTGAAATGTTTGGCAAAGAATGAATTTAACATTTCTGATTTGCCTGACTCCTCCATAATGAAGGCATCGTTGGTACTAAGCAAAGGCGAACTGACGTGGTGGAATTTAACAGATGATCTTTGACGAAAGATCTGAGCAAGTGATTTAGAAGCATTCACGTTATTAGTAGCAAAAGATTCCCTGTGCCTATCTCGCGCGAGCCTCATTTTGGAAGCTAATTAAAATATTTCAAGGATTCTGAGGTGAACTAATAATCAGCACATGGAAGGATTTTGAAGCTGCTTCCGTAGCTTTTTAAGTCTGTTTTCAAGAAAATGTGGGACAAAGGGGGAAGTGGCACTCGCGTTAAACGTCTTCTGTTGAATTAAGTCGAGAAGACCTTCTGATACGCACTGTAATAAACCGTAGAAAAAATTCAGATCGTTATTTAGAAAAATTTTGTGCCGATCAAGGGTGCTTGAAAAGTTATTAACTAATTCCTTGTTGTCATTAGCATAATTCATATTGACTCAACTGTGAAAAACTCGACTTCTCGGTGGGATTCGAACCTACGCAGTAAGGAGAAGGCTTAAGTACAGACAACGCTCTAACCACTTGACGTACGAGGCCCCGCCGGACGAATCGAGTTTAATCACATTTGAGTCAATTTTACCCGCCCAACCTACTGCAACGTCTGGAATTCACCAAATCTGATACAGTAAGTTGACTGCCCAAGCAGGATTTTCTAAGTAATTCACCTAGAATCCACCAGATGACTACCAGGCTGAGGTAATTCATAGGTATTTTGGCAGATTTTGAATGATTCATTATGGTCCAGCTGTGGTGAATTCCAGACATTGCAGTTGGTTGGGCGCGTAAACTTGACCCAAATGTGATTAAACTCGAATCGTCCGGCGGAGCCTCATAGCTCAAGTGGTTAGAGCGTTGGCTGTACTAAAGCCTTCTCCATTCTGCGTGGGTTCGAATCCCACCGAGGCGCCGAGTTTTTCACAGTTGGGTCAATACGAATTATTCAAAATCTGCCAAAATACCTATGACAAAGGATAGTCAAATATGGTACGTTCCACTGTTAGCTTTGCTGACGTGGCAACTGGAGGACGACAATAAATTAATGTCTGGTGAGTTACAAAAAAGCCACGACAGAAAAGTAAGTAGTAGTGTGATAAGAGGAAGGCATATGTGGGAACGTACGATTAGCATACATAAATGGTCTGCCATTCGGAAATACATGTAGTTTACCCTCGACAAAAGGGAAAAAATAATGACGGCTGACGGTCAGAATGTTCGCGGGAAAGTTGTCCAAGTGAACCTGAACTTCTACAGAGTAACAGAAATTGAACTTGGGCCTGTCTTTGGATTAATCACCTGCTTTGGTTTTCTTGGTTGATGGTAGATTGGGTAAGAGTTTGGGCTCAAAAGGCTTGCTGTTGAGTCGGCGTACCTCAAAATCGACCGCGGCTGATTTCTCTACAGAGTGCACTAAGTTATTGGATGGCGAGACCGCAATGGGCATCGAATACGACTCGTCAAACGTCTCAAGTTGAACTGTCAAGTCGGAATGGATAGTTGACGTTTCCACTTTTTCAACTTTTCCTGCATTTGCGTAAGTTCTGGAGAAAATGAACAATGCCACATGAAGCAGAATTCGTTTGTCATTCCCCTTGACAAGACGAAGTCGACTTATGTTAAGCAGAAGTCCGTAATGGTACTGCGGCGTCGCGACTGACTGGACGTCATCCTCTAGCATGCGCATCCGTAAGTCTCCAGCCACAAATATACAGAAAGAAGTGGGAACGCACGACGACAGATGAGTGATTCGGAATACTGCGCACTACCAAATTGTGCTTGCGATTTATACGCTTCCCATTTTCGGAGCTGCTTACTCCGATAGGTTTAAACTTTTTTCGATATCACTTTCTGATCTACTATCCGATCTATCCGAAATTCGAGCTGCTGAGGAAAGAAAGTTACGGAAAGGGGATTGTCCTCAAATGAAAAATCTGCTACAGACGTTTAACTGGAATGCAGCACAAGGTACCGACATAGAAAGCGATTGGCTCTTCTACAATAACTGAATACAGCATTTGGAAGAGAGCTGTTGCCCACTTAAGAGGAAACCGCGCACTTCCCGACCTGAGTGAGTGACGTCAGAAATAAAGAAGAACCTTAGATTGAAAAGGAGACTTTGGAAAAAGTACGCCAGATGTCAGCAACTAGAATATTTCGCTGACTTCTGAAAACAGAGAAACGTCTGTTGGAATCTGCTAAGGAGGGAACAAACAGAAGTTGAGTTAAAATATCCGAAAAATAGCCCGCAAAATTCCAAAAATCCTTTAGATACGTGAATAAGGCGAGACGCAACCCGGACTGCATTCCCTGCCTAAAAGATTGCCAAGGAAATACGTTGTCTGGCAACTCAGATAAGGCGAACCTGTTGTCCGATTTCTTCACATTTGTGTATACCGAGGAGCCGGCTTATGATGAAAGAGTTTACTCCTCAATTATCAAATCAAAAGGTACGGTTAGCACGGTGGACTTCACAACGGACATGATAAGGAAAACTTTGAGTCAACTACAGCCTACTAAATCTCCTGTACCGGACGGCGTGTTCGCAAAAGTTCTGAGTGAAAGCTCAGACCAACTGGCCTTCCCGTTATCCAGGGTCCTCAGAACTTCGATGGAGACTGGGGCTCTGCCTACCGATTAGAAGAAAGCAAATATAAGCCCCATATATAAAGGTGGCGAGAGAACAGCCCAAAAATATTTTCAGATCAGTGAGTCTCACAAGTATCTGTTGCAAGTTGATGGAAAAAAATAATGAAAGAGGAGCTGATGTGGCACCTCGAAGAAAACGACTTGCTCAGTTTGCATCTGCATGTATTTTAAAGGGGTCGACCCTGTCTCACTAACTTGCTAGAATCCATGGAGAGCCGGACGAAATCAATCGACATGGGCTTATCAGTCGACGCCGTGTACGTGGACTTCAGAAAGGCTTTTGACAGTGTTTCACACAGACGAGTTATATTTAAATTACTTCAAGTGTGTGTGAATGAAAATCTGCTGAAATGGTTAGCTGACTTTCTTACGGGCACATCTCAGCGTGTGCGTATCGGAAACCCTAAATCGGAATGGGCATCCGTGCGCAGTGGCTATCCGCAGGGGAGCGTTTTGGGTCAAATTCTGTTCTTAATATATGTGAACGACTACTTGAACTGCCGAAACTGTGAGCGCGTAATGTTTACCGATGATCTTAAATTGTTGAAATCAACAGAGAAGCCGAAAGACTCTGTGCAAGACAATCTGCTACAAGAAAAGTTGAATCGCTTGCAACAATGGCGTGATGAGTGGTGTCTTAGTCTTAATCGTAACAAATGTCAACTTATCCGATTACGATAAAGCAACAGGAGGCCGTTGAGATTTGAATCTCATTACTTTATAGCGGTCACCAACTCGAATCGGTAAACTAGTTAAGAGACGTCGGTGTGTGGATGACGTAAACTCTCAAACCATCGTTTCACTTCGCCAAGGTATCAAGGAAAGCAATGGGTATCCTAGGTGCGATTAGAAGATCCTTCCTCACTTTTGACGAAGAACTTTTCGGACGAGTATTTAGAGCATGCGCTCGACCAATGTTGGAATATTGTGTTCCGGCATGGCTTCCCTTGACGAAACAAGATTACACCCTACTGGAGAACGTACAACGAAGAGCGAGCAAGCTAGTCGGCGGATTAGGTAGCTAACCTTATGAGAGACTCCCGGAAAAGATAAAAATATTTTCTCTGCCTTATAGACCCAGAAAACGACTGGCTCATTTTCAAGAACGTAATGCAGCACTTGGTAGAAAGCAGTTGTCCACTTAAGAGGAAACCGCACGCTTTGCGACTGGAGTGGTAGACGTCAGAAATAAAAAAGAACCTTAGATGGAAAAGGAGATGTTGGAAAGAGTACGCAAGATGTCAACAACCAGACCATTTTACTAATTTCAAAGAGCAGAGAAACATATGCCGGAATCTGCTGAGGAGGGAACCAACAGGATTTGAGTCGAAAATACTGAAAAGTATCCCGCGAAATTCCAAAATCCTTTGGATACGTAAATAAGACAATAAGTCGGACAAGGCGAACCTGTTATCCGATTTGTTCACGTCTGTTTATACCGAGGACCCGGCTTTTGATGAAAGAGTTTACTTTCCAAATGTCAAATCAAAAGGTACAGTTAGCACGGCGGACTTCACAACAGACATGGTAAGGAAAGCTTTCAGTCAACTACTGCCTACTAAATCCCTTGTTCCGGACGGCGTGTTCGCAAAAGTCCTGAATGAACTTCCGGACCGACTGGCCTCTCCGTTATCCAGGATCTTCAAAATTTCGATGGAAACCGGGGCTCTGCCTAATGATTGCAAGAATGCAAATATAGACCACATACATAAGGATGGTGAGAGAACAGCCCCAAATAGTTTTAGACCAGTGTGTCTCACAAGTACCTTGGTCAGTATATTTTAAGGGTAATAGGCAATGCCTTTGAAAACCCTATTGAAAACGGTACATGCAATATCTAACTTTAAATAAACATGGCACCAAAATTTTGTCAGTAATATATACACATTACGGAGTATTTTTCATTGGAAATGCAGGACCGAAACTCGAGAACATTCAGTTGTAGATAATATCGGTGAACATGATGGGGAAGGGGATAAAAACGGAGCCGATGGGGCATCTTGAAGAAAACTCCTTGCTCAGTTTGCATCAGAATGAATTTCTAAGGGGTCGACCCTGCCTCACTAAAATGCTAGTATCCATGGAGGGCTGGAGAAATCAATCGACATGGGCTTATCAGTCGACGCCTTGTACGTGGACTTCAGAAAGGCTTTTGACAGTGTTTCACACACACGAGTTATATTTAAATTACTTCAAGTGGGTGTTAATGCAAATCTGCTGAAGTAGTTAGCTGACTTTCCTACGGGCACATCTCAGCGTGTGTGTATCGAAAACGCTAAATCGGAATGGGCATCCGGGCACAGTGGCGTTCCGCAGGGGATCGTTTTGGGTCAAATTCTGTTCTTAATATATGTGAACGACTGCCTGAACTGCCGAAACTGTGAGCGTGTAATGTTTACCGATGATATTAAATTGTTGAAGTCAACAGAGAATCCGAAAGACTCTGTGCAAGACAGTCTGCTACAAGAAAAGTTTAATCGATTGCAACAATGGCGTGATGAGTGGTTTCTTAGCCTCAATCGTAACAAATGTCAACTTATCCGATTACGATAAAGCAACAGGAGGCCGTTGAGATGTGAATCTCATTTTTTTATAGCGGTCACCAACTCGAATCGGTCAACTAGTTAAGAGACGTCGGTGTGTGGATGACGTAAACTCTCAAACCATCGTCTCACTTCGCCAAGGTATCAAGGAAAGCAATGGGTATTCTAGGCGCGATTCGAAGATCCTTCCTAACTTTTGACGAAGAACTTTTCGGACGAGTATTTAGAGCATGCGTTTGACCAATGTTGGAATTTTGTGTTCCGGCATGGCGTCCCTTGACGAAACAAGATTACACCCTACTGGAGAACGTACAACGAAGAGCAAGCAAGCTAGTCCGCGGATTAAGTAGCTAACCTTATGAGAGACTCCTGGAAAAGATAGAAATATTTTATCTCTCTTATAGACTATATAAAGGGGGTATGATCATGACCTTCAGGATCGTCCGAGGGCTAGACTGTGCTCTTCAGTTTGGCGATTTCTTCGAACTGGTTCGGACGACAAATCTTCGAGGTCACCAATACAAATTGAAGCTAAAATATGTCAAACTCGAACTGCGGGCCAAATTCTTCTCCTACCGACGGTGTGAAGGGATGGAACAAATTGTCAATCTCCGTTGTCTTAGCGGAAAACGGTGAGACCCTCAAAAGAAGACTAGATAAATTTATGTTTCATGGTCAAACATTTGCACGTTATCAATAACTAGAATAACTTCTATGTACATATCTGCATGTTCGTTTCATACGTCTATCTCTAAATAGAGTTTTCCAAGACTCTGCTTATATCCTACATTTATGCTGAATTATACTGAATTACTGAATTATATTCCCACATATCAATTGACCTACCCCTGTTGAAATTAGCCCGAAAACAATATAAATATTGGCAGTACTATAGTGACCATAAACATAAATTTATTGTTCATTAGAAGTGATCGAGGACACTGTCTGTAACGTAACGAATCCATGCATACCCACAAGCATGCATAATGCATACATACGTTCGCATAAAGATTTCGAAAAAGGATATTCCGTTTCGCGAGTAAAGACAGATTCCTAAACTAACGAACGACTAGTAGGTTTGGCGTGGACTAAAGAACTTTTGGGATTTCACGTATATTTAGGAGGACGTGAAGACAAACACGCATCCGATCTGCCTCTGGCCATTATTCTAGAAATCGGAAAATGTGGGGAGGCTGCAATTTTTGGTATTTACGTAGTCTCATACAAGGTATTCTAATCTACCAAACAAAAATGTTCTTAAATTGGCGCAGGTCTAGATGCTGCTTATTTGCAGCAGGTCAACTATGTAAGCACTTCAGTCGTAGTGAAAATGCGATTCCCAGGTGGCATATCAAAAGAAGAAAGAGCGTTCACCGGGAGGAGTTTATTCGAGGTCCGACTTTACGAACCATCTTAGCGGGGGACAGTCACGGCGCGGGACCATCAGGGCCGTCAGTCATCTCCGCGGCCGACGGGGGCGATTCAGGTCACAGTGACATGCGGGTTGGATGCAGCCACACAGGCGGCATTGGCGGATCACGCATTGAACAGAGGGCGCCATTATAAGGGGACTGTGCACAGGACTTCCAAGTCTCTGAAGATGGTCAGACGAATAAACTACTCGAAACGTCGGACCTCAAATAAACCCCTCGTAGTGAACGACCCTTCTTCTTTTGATATGTAAACACTACAATAAATCCACCACAGTAAGTAGAATAATTGATATATTGCGACTTCGAAATGCAACCACAATGATCATACTATTTGTCGAGTGTAATTAGGCGGACGAAAATTATTTGTGATGGTAAGAAAGTGGTTTTTAGGAGTCTGGAATAAACATTACCCTTATGATAATCTGAAAACACCCTCTCTCTACTGCGTTTTGACCATTGTGGCGTGTTTGTGCCCATATAGCCGTCCTGGGAGTTTTCCGATGCAAGGTCCGGTTCAGTCGTCAGCCCCAAATCTTGGCAAAGATGGAGCCGAGAAGACAGCCAGGTCGATTTTTGTCGGCAATATTCCGTACGAAGCAACTGAAGAAAAACTCATTGAGCTTTTTAGCAAGGTAATCCTATGAATTGTTACGCATCAAATTCAGGCTGGACCAGTAAACGGTTTTCGTCTAGTTTACGACAGAGAATCCGGCAAACCAAAAGGATATGGTTTCTGTGAGTATAGCAATGCTGCTATTGCCGCAAGCGCCCTTAGGAACCTTCATAATATCGACTTCAATGGCCGCCCCTTGCGCATCGGTAAATGGTTGCGTACCGCGTTACTGTGCTTTAGGGCCAGCCGCTGGTGAGCAGAATTCTGCGGAAGTGGCACTAAGTAACCCTGCTGTTGGCCCTCCGGTCGAAAATGCATACGGAGCTCCAGTTGATCCCAAACATGCACCGGAAGCGATTAGTAGAGCTGTCGCAAGCCTGCCCCCCGAGCAGATGTACGAACTTATGAAACAAATGAAATTGTGTATCCAAAACAATCCGAATGAAGCAAGAAATATGCTGCTTCAAAATCCGCAGTTGGCATATGCGCTTCTGCAGGTATTTTGTTGGTGTGATACTTTAACTACTCACTCCCCTGAATCTATCATCGTTGAAAATTTGCGAGGGATCTATCCTTCCTCTCGGTTTTAGAGTCCGACCCAGCCTGTGGTTCTTTTTTTTTCGAGAGTTGTTTAATCACACGCGTTAAAATGCGTTCTGTGTTTATCCTGTCGCCCAGACCGCCCTGAAATCCTACGTTTTGTTTGCAAGCTCATCTTGTTAAGCTACTTTTAATATTCAGCAACACTTTCTCGTTATTAGATCTTCCCGACAGTTAAATTCATCCAATAATTTTCAGGCTCAGATAGTTATGAAGATTGTCGATCCCAAGGTGGCGATTGGAATGCTCAACAGAAGCCATGACCAAATACCGCCTGCAAGACCGGATAATTCGAAGCCCTTCGAGGAAGAACAGAACTCTTTCCAAACTCCTTCGGCTCATAACTTTCAAACACCTCACCCTCAACCGGTTGCCCCTCCAATGCCTACTGCGCAGCCAAACCAATTTCCTCACTCGGCCGTGCCACCTCTTTCTATAAACAGTTCAGTTACCCCCTCACAATACCAGCAGGGTCCTGCGGCTGTGCCGCTGCGTTCAACGAATCCAGCCATACCTCAGCCGACTGCCCAAATTCCATTCACCTCAGAATACCCTGTCATATCACAGGAGTCTATATCCGCAGGTTGGATTCGCTTTGCCTTTATTATTCATGCGATCTTTACAATACGAATCATGGGTTGGGGTATTCGTCATTATGAGGCTGCAATCATAGTGCAAACACCTAAACGCGTTCTTCTCATGTCATAAAATTTCGACCTCTGAGTCCTTAATCACGTAATAAGGAATTGACAAGTCTATTTTTAAAATTATGCTTCAATTTGCTCTAACTAAAACCAGCACAGCCAAGGCGATTATACAGTCCCGTAAACCAACAGGGCCAGTTATGACAGAAGGCTTGGTTTCCGGCAGACCATCAAATGAACTTTTCATTTTCGAACCGCAAGTACTCTCGGGTTTCAGGATCCCTCCAAAGCTGTCTCTGCCATATTTGTTCGCATTTTTTATGGCCACAACCCCGCGCCTATCCGAACAGTAGTCACGGACGTGTTCGGTCTTGGTCAGACAGAGCGCTTGGCTGAACTATCCGCACTTCAACTATAACCCCACTTACAGTACGTGACCTAACGGATGAAAGGTGTCGCAATTTACGAATTGTTGCTTATCATTCGCAGACGGACACCAATGCATAGATCAAATGTCTATTGAAAACAGAGGAAATATTAAATTTAATATTACTTTGTGTGGAAATACCAACTTTTCAGAAAAGCGAAAAATAGTGAGAATATCAGAAGTGGTTGTAATTGAGCAAACCTTAGTTTTCGGTGTACCGGAAGCCTGTACATGCAAAAACTGAGATATGACAGCATTAATACAATAATGCTTACCAGTAGTCTTTTAGTGGAGTTTATATCTAGATATCCTTTAATGTTAGGTATGGCGATTTGCCTACAGCCTACATCCTGAGTATAGATTCCAAAACGGTTTCCTGAGGACTCGTATGTCCCTCGGTTTTGCATTGCTTGAGATGTGGTTCAATAAAGCAAACATGATTTTGCTTCATTTCATCGATAGAGACGTCATAGGAACAAAAGTCACATGCTGCCAGGCCGGTCGGCGATAGTACGTCTAAGCAGATTTGGCAGATGTAGTCGTAAACATACTATTTCGTGTTTACAAAGAGGACTCCGTGAAATTGGTTTGCACTTTTCCATTGTCCTGATCGCGCTGAGTTTCAGTGTAGCCTCGAAATTCAACCGAGTTCTTCATGATTTTCAGTGTTTCCAGTCTATCACTCATGAAGACAGATTTTGTATTATAGGTTTATTAAAACTAAGATCCAGTGGCTCAGTGGTTAGAGGCGTTCGACTTCTAACTAACAGGTCGCGGGATCGTACCCCAGGTGTTCCACACTTCGGGCCTGGATATAGGTGACTGACAACGGCTAAGAAGCCAGAAATGACCATTTCAGTCTCCTTTGTCATAATCGGTAATAACGTGCTGCCAGAATGCGCAAAATTTAAGGCGTCTGGAAATTCTCATACCAGATTCTGTCATCAAGTTTCATGAGTTAAGTCACGTACTGCAAGTTGCGAATGGGTTTGATCCCTGGGTTCGACCTGCGTGAAAAGGTCGCGCAACATCCAGTCGGGCGATTCAACCACAAGCCTTGGTTTTCTCAGAGTAACTTCGCCCCAAGCTCAAGATCCGGCAACAATATGATCGAAGGAATGTTGCGTTTTTCTAGTTTTTCAAAGGTGGTTGTGTTTTACCAGGGAGTCCATGTAATCAGAGATTCCTTTTGACCTGCTCTTCTGCCGTAGTTCACATTAACCGACGGCAGCGCATAGACCCACTGGATGTCATTGTTAACTGTGATGTTCCCTTTATGGTCGTACAATGTCCAAACTTTCGCTATCCTGAGCTAATTATACGCGTTTGTTAAGTTTAAAAATTTCGTACAGTGCGACCAGCCTTTAACGCCCCGCATAGTCCACTCAAGCCAGACGGTGTGTTAGCTACGACGAAATTCAAGAGGCGGTCTATCGCCTTCTATGAGAGACTGCTGTTTTATAACAAACAATTGGCAGACAGCTACTGCGCCAAGGCGAAAACTGGGAGTCTACTGTGCTTCGCGTGAGACCAAGCGGTTTCAACCAGACTTGGCAATTTCTTTATCTGCTTTTGTGACATCCCGACAACACATTTTATAGAGAACAAATATAGCATCGGTTTAGTTCTCCATGGCAGACCCCGCGCACTATGCACACCGGATACTTCCAAGCCAGTTGAATTAAATCAAAGTTCTTAGACTTAAGTCCACAGTCCAGGACCTTTTGAAGACGTCGAATCATTGCCCAAGTTTCAACAGCAGAGAGCGATCTGTCGTTAAGGTCTTTCGAGTTGTTGTGGAGGCAGCTGCAATCATATTCTCCTGCAAACAAATCTGTCCGGTCTGTCCTTCTCAATGGCTGTGAATGGTGAGCTGTGCGCGTGGATGACGAACGAAAACTACCGCCTGAGGACTATCCTTCGCGTAAAGTACACCAAATTCGTCTCAAATGAGACAGTCCACACTCGTTGCAGCAACATCGCAAGGATAACCCAGGCCATCCAAGAAAGATGACTGAGGCGGTTTGGGCACGTTCTTTGTCGTGCGCCGTAGGAATCCAGTGTTAGCGTCCTTGACCCGGTACCTTTACCTCATTGGAGGCGTTGAAGAAGGGGTCAACTCAAAACCTAGCTGGACACAGTTCGTCGAGATATTAACGTAGTTCTTAGATCTTCGGTATTCGGTCTCCGTCGTTTGTGGAGAGAATAGGTTGAACTGTCCTGATCTGCTGCTGCGGATCGTAACGCGTGGAGCGGTACAGTTCGGGACATCATCAATGCTGCCGTACCAAGTATAAGCGAGTATACTCAGTTCGGCAAGAAAATTTGGCACGGTGCGCAAATGGGCTGAGTACTCCGTTAATCCCGGAATCGCACAGTCTGTGGGGCGTTCGGAAGACCGGGTTTTCTTTCTCTTATTCGAATACTCATTTAGTTGTACCATTCGATTGGCGACGCGGAACGTTCGTCACTACTCTGTCGCCAATCACTATGGCATACCCTGACCCAGAAGTTGTATTCAAACAGTGCCGAGCTTAGTCGCCCCCCAACGCACGTTATCAAATGTTACAGTTTTTTGCTATTTTGATAATTTTTCAGTTTTTGGGTTTGCGTCCGACAATAGAAGTCATTAGCCAAAACGTAGACCATAACGTAGACAATGACTGCAAAAACCGCTCATTTGATGCCGCATTCTCACAGTCTCTGACGATAGCCTCATGTACGAAACCGAAAGCTCAGACTAATACACCTACTGTCCCAGAGATCGTGTGTTCATCTTCTTTATTCAAATTAGTGTGTTCTAGTTAAATCATTGTTTTCTATCTCGATAATGTTCCGAAGCAGTCAAAAACGGCTGCGAGTTATAGTATTCACGTCGATCCTGAACATAAACTACAGCCGTTACTCTTATTCTTCAGACATTTAAGCACCAACATACTGCCAACTTGAAGTCGCCATACCTAAGTTGTGGGCATACTTTCTCATTAATTCGGCGAGTTATCTCGTACATCTAAGATCATTGTTCGATTTATCTGTGCCGTTCATATATTTTGCGTTCTTATTCTCGACTTATGTAAACTCGAGGTTTACTTTTCATCTCAGGTATGTACCCGGGCATGCCTGGAATGCAACCACCACCTCCTGGCTACCCAGCTGGTCCTAGAAAGCCTTTTGATGCTGTCTCCAATCGTCCGCCGTTCCAACCGCAAGCTGGCGTTCCGGCCACACTTCCGAATATGCCCATGAACGCTCCACAGTTTATGACGAGTGTCCCCGCTGTACCTGCACCAGCTGCTCCTCGCCCTTCGCAGCCATCGGATCAGGCAAGCCCTGCTTCAAAATATGTTTTGTCTGGTTTTATTAGCACAAACTTGTATTCTTACTGGATTTCATGACTGTTTGCTAATTTGGTGTCCCACTCCGAAATGATGGACCGCAGCCATAGCCGCAACTGCAACAATGTGTTGATAGCTTTAGAGTGTTCGTCATCCAAACGCCGTTACCCTTCTATTTTGCTGCTAGCTGAAGTGACCTTCCGTTCATATGATAGGAGCGCTTACCAGGGACGTTGTGTCGATTCCCAAGACGCAGTATGGTAGCTTGTTCGTGTTAAACGACAAAAGTCATCAGAGGTGTCACTTTTCCAATCGAAAAAGATTCTCTGGAAGTTCGCCTGGTCAGCATCACTTTGAACGAATTTTCTGATTTTTTATATCATCTGCAAACATGGCACGGTCTAATCTTACAGTCAAATTTGTGTACACAGCTATTAATAACTAAGAGAAAGGGTGTCGGCCCTGGCACTGAACCCTGTGGGACTCCACTCTCTATGACTATACACCTTGATTGGTGTTGCTGTACACAAAAACTTTCGAATCTCCAACGAGGAAATTTAGGATCCATTTAAGAAGCTTGCCTCTGATACCCACTATTTTCAACGTACACAGGAGTCGCCGATAAGGGACACTATCGAATGCCTCCCTAAAGGCAATGTAGGCAGCATGCGCAGTGTGTTTTTCATCGAGTGCGCTTATCCAACTCGGCATCGTATAAAGCGAGTTCGCCACACGTAATCTTCATTTACGAAAGCCATATGGTATATCGGACAAGAGACTGTTGGTTTCCGGATAACTCAACTACTTCTAGATGGTCTTCACCACTACTTTGCAGCGGATTGATGTCAGGCTGACGGGTCCGTAGTTGGTCGAAAGTGCACGACTACCGCCTTTGTGGATCAGTGTAATGTGTGCTGTTTTCCAATCCGGGAAAAACTCCCTGTGTCGAACGCCTTCTGGCACAAAACGGATGATGACTTAGCCAGTTCCTAGGCAACTCGGTAGAGCAAATTGTTCTCGATATCCCGTCGTGTTTTGAAAATGAAGCCTTTAACCTTGTCCCTTCGGGCTTTATGTTCTTCCCAGGTTGCTCTTTCGTTTTTTCGCAAAACTTCCACAACCATCCTGATCTTTTCGCTATGCCTTAGCGCTTATTGGGCAAAATGCTCCTTGCCAAATGTTTGGCCTGATTTCGTTTATTTCGTATGACACAGAGTGTAAACAGTACTCCCAGAGAAGTTTTGCATGACCACTCTGACAGTATACGTCGTCCATAATACTAGGGTCTTTTGTGAAGGCGAGGTCCAGGCAACTGGCTTGTTGCCCTTCCTATGCTGTTGTTGGAGCTAGGGCATACTGTGTGGGCAGAGCTTCAAGTGTTTTTAGCATATGTTGGTCGAAGACAAACTCCCATCACTTCACTTGCATATCGTCTTATTGAATTCCGGATTCTTTAAAGCTACCCATGTAAACCACATCAGGTCAACTAGAGATCGCCTTTATGCTCTTCAGCAGAAAAGTATCAGCTCCGGGTTTGTCCTCAGTAGCCGGTAGACAGTCACGGCTTCGAGGGACTGCGATCCCGATGCGTTTATAACCAATCAAATAGCCTGCCGTTCGTGATCATCTGGGTCTTCTCACCCACGGTTAAGTTATTCTCTAAATACATGACTAATTGTCCACCCTGGCGGCTCTTTCTGTCTCTCCTAAATACTTGGTACCCTAGTAGTGCAATTTCGCTTGATGTGTTGTGAATTCCAACGACGAGACTAGTTAACAGCATTGTTGGTCACGTAGAGATTGAAGCAGCTATGTCCAGCCAGAGCGACCAAGATCTGGAACGCACACGCATGCAGCCAACACATTATTGCACACAGCGGAGATGGGAATTAAGGAAAAATAGGCCATAGGAGCTCTGGGTGTGCTTCCAGTAGTCCTATAGGAGAAGTTATCACGGTAACCCGTTGTTGTCGGTAATTGCGTTTTTTCAAAATCTGTGTTCTAAGTTAGCTCATTTGCACTGCATACTATCAAATATGTACGCAATACACGCTAAACGGAGGTTCTACGTCACGTCGGTCACTGCACCTGGGGTCATTCTCCGTCTGCCCGACTCGACATTATTACTAGCGTATTCAAGATGGGGTTAGGCTGATCTGTCTAGAATCAAATGCTTATTTCCTCACCACAAATAACTGTCACGATCCGCAAAGAGTTGTAGCTCGGAAGGTTGCCACTTGGAGGGGTAACTCTTCGCCCGCTGAGAACTGAGAGCGAGGCTGCAACGATTTCAGATCGTGTGGTACTTGTAGGCAGACTATTTGGCTGTTTCAGCTACTGCACTTTCGCACGCCTCCGATCGCCCTGACTCTGCCTTAAAATCGAAACGAGGTGCGTGCAGGAAGAGTGAGAGAGAGCCAGGCACACACAGTGCAAATTTGCTTCAACACAAACGAACTCACGCAGGCGTCATTGTTGAGCCCACTTCGCTGGACAGCTGTGGTCCCCGTCGCTTGCGATAACCGAAGTGTCATTACACGCCATACTATCCCTACACAAGACTATTTCACTGTACCCATTTGCTGCATGTCAGGCATGTTAGTTCCTATAGACCAGGCTTAACTCCCATACTGTAGGGTGTTAGAGCTTATGAGCGCCACTAGAATACAATTATCTGAGGGTAAAAAGTCTTTTGGGGCCAAAATATAGCAAGCCTCCAACTACAAACAGCGACGCAAATCTACTTCTCTGGGAGATCATTACTTTAGTTAGTTCCTTCTCCACAGACTTGTTGAAGAGCTATGGACTTTGCACGTTTTCAATAGTAGAAAAGTAGCCACCAATGTGACCACCTTATCACGGTCCGATTCATATGAAGTCATTAAAAAAATGCGTGAAGTCAGTATTCTCCTGTCTAAGAATGAAGCAAAACGACATACTTTGCACAGGGCGAAATGGACATTGCCTCCTCCTAGAGGCGCATTTTATGATGCCGGCGAATATTTCAGGCTGCGAAGTTGCACACCCACCAAAGCGATGAGGATCAGTGTCCGTTTTCGAGTGTTATGCCTTGAACCTGATCTAACGATAAGTCAGTATAGGTGATGTAGCCGCTGACTCACGTCAAGCTTGGGACCGGATCAGTTTAGCCCTGAGGCGACGTACAGATTGGCGCTATGGTGTGTTTCCAACACTCCTTCTGGATTTTTTGTCATAGTTTGCATGCTTCCAGTGTAACTATATTGGATACCGTTCTTACATCATTCATTTAGCAACTAAAGCAGTGTCTTTCTTCGGCATCAGCCGAATGTATCTCAGCCTCGAAAATCTCATAAGACTTGTTGTAGTAAAGTGATAAAATTTTCCTACCTGGTGAATATCGAGGATCGTGCCTAAAATTGCAGAAGCCAGAAACTTTCTTCGCGGAATCAGCGCGATTTCATATCATCAAGACAAGATGTCAGCACTGCGGTTACTGCTGGTTTTCGTGTCCGCCGTTTGGATTATGTGTAGTCTGCCTCGTGCTCTGCAGTGCTCGGACTATACCTGTTGGTCAACATAGCAACTGTGTTCGTCTATTCGTGATGTATTTTTATCTTTTTTTACCGGACTGCCGCCTGCCCACAGGCCTCGCCGGAGTAGCCGTCATGTCACAGCAGCCCAGCCCAGCCCAACAGTATACTCTCCTTCCAGGTATAAAACACCCGTTGACTACTTAGTAACAACAGGCCAATATCTGCCACTTAAGAGATTACTTCGGCCCAAAAGGGTCGCCCATTCCAGTTCCACATGTATGAGAATTCTACCAGGTAGGGGCGTTCCCTGACATTCTGCTCTTTTCCAGATCACACCGGAGGTGGCAGCCGCTGCAGTCGCGAATATGGGTCCGAGCGGTCTTCTCGGTGCTCAGGGCGAACAAGAGAAGATCGCCCTCATAATGCAAGTTCTTCAGCTTTCCGATGAAAGCATTGCGCAGTTGCCTGAGGACCAACGGCGGAGCATATTAATTCTCAAAGAACAGGTCCGGAAAACGGGTGTTATTTAAAAGATCGTCTGCCTGTACCTTTTTCTGAGTCCTCGTCTCCGTTTGAAGTATTAAAGACCCTTTTATATCTATCCCGGAAGCGTTTTAAAACGTTGTTTGTCTTTTTTCTACGGAATGATATGGAATACTGCATCTCTTCGACCTTCGTGTCTCATTGCAGTTGACAGTGGAATACGAATTAACGAAATTGTCAAAGTGCACATTTTGTCATGCTGTCTGATGTTTGCGAAGTTTTCATCCGTGTACCGGCCTAGGAAGTTTTTCTTACCTGTACTGCAGCAATCATGCCGGCTATGTCTTCGCTCCACTTCACACGCTCATTAATCCATGGCAGCTAATTCTCCGAACATAACATTTCTGCAGCGTCGAAGTTCAAGATTTAAGGCAATAACGTTACAGTCCCGGTCTCGCATTATCATACTATAACTCGCTCTGTACCCGTAGTATGCGCAACGTAAAGTGCCTGACGTTTTTCTTGTGTGGCCTGGGATGTTATCTTGCTGTTGCTGCATCGAATACATATTATCTCATGGCAGCCTGTGCACTTCGCTGTGTGAATCTTCCTCACTAAACGGAAGTCTAAAATACCTAGCTCTCTCGTCCTTGACAGCCCGAGCGTCGCTTCCGGCGATGTCCACCGCGTGCCCCATGGCGTGATGAGGGTAGGGACGACAACTTTCGCGTGAATTAGTTTATGGTGATTGCAGACTTTCGTTGCTTCTGATTCACACTCATCCCTCGCGCCCATGGGCTCGGTGGTGGGGTCGGGCGCAGGTGACTGGCTTGGCGTGAACCCGCCCCTCGTCCAAGCACGAAGGACCAGGATTTCACACAAGAGAGAGGCGGGTCGGATCCCGATCGAGTGGGAGTGTTATAAAGGCCATATTAGTCGAGAACCATTACATTCTGACTCTGTTCTGAGGGGGGGGGCGAATTATCCCATCAGTCGGCAGCCTCCCAAGCCACGACTTTTAGTTCACCAGGATAGTCTTAAGCGCGTCAGATTGTCCATACTGAGCAATATGGGCGAAGACTCGACCCCACTCATTTCCACCGTACGCTTGTCGGCTGTCCCTGCCGGTCAACCAACTGATGAGGGGATTGGACGCAGTGGCTGACAGTCGGAGAGGCCGACTGCGTGTTCCACACACACGCAGGAGGGGGCACGTGATAAGGGAGCCATTGGGCACAATTCTCACTTGCGTGAGAGGTGCCGATTCCATGCTGAATGATGAGGGACGGGTTTGCGTGTGGCCAATTTGTTAGGAGAAATGTGGTGATGGTGGTCTGACCGACTGTGTTTTACCGCAGATTTGGCCGAGTAGGCGCTGCGGTGGCTGGATGAACGTTGGCAGTGTGAACAGCTGCGGTGGATGTATGTTGGCGCTCAAAGCGCTGGCCCGCAAGTTTCTGTGCGATTGATTCGCAAGTGACCAATCAGACAGGTGCGTTATGTGCATGTGCTGATAGGATAAGTTGGGGGCTGCTAAGTCGGTCGCGGTTTTGGTACTGCTCGTGCTCGCCGCGCTGGTGGAGAGGGAGCTGATAGTTATGGGGGTGGAAGTTGTTGGATGGGCAGTGTGTTTGGCGTGTCGATATGCGGTGGAATCAGCTGTCGTGGATGTACTCATGGCCGAATAAACCGATGTGGTGACTAAGTGTCCATGGGCAGTGGAGGCAGATGCGGAAAATGCATGTCGACGCTGCTGACAGTGTTGCACCGGTTTAAATGTAATGGACTCACAAGTGACCGGCCAGCCCGGCACGTGATGTGTGTGTGTGCCATGACAATGAGAACAGGATGAGATTGAGTCCGTATTGCTGGTGACGCGGGCGGTGGTAATGAGAGTAGCGGTTGGCGGAAAGTCGAGCGTTCTTACCAGTGGTGGGGGTTGGAGGGATGGTGGTTGTCGTCACGGGTGTTGTGGCAGCAATGATAAAGAAAGTGGAGGTCGACGATGTCAGCTGAGGCGTCGAGACATCAAGAGTATGGTCGTGTGGCGATGGTGGTGATCGCCGTCGCCGGGTTTGGCGCGGGGGTGGCGATGGGGGCATTTGTGCAGGAAGCAGCTGGAGTCGTCGGGTTGTTGCATTCGGTCCGACGAGGCCGGTCCGTGCGCTGAATGTTCGTCGAGAGCGTCAAGAGAATGATGTTGGATGTCGGTGTTGTGAGCGGGAGGCAATTGAGGCTTGTGGACTACCTTTTTGGTTTTTACAGCGGCGATCCGGTTGGTTTTGTAGATTGCTGATTTACTGCTCTTCTCCAGGCCGGCCGGTCCTCTATGAGGTACTCCCGGTTGTCTGCACTGATTTGCAAGTTCTTGACGGTGATCCGAAGGCCAACCTTGTGGCGTCGTTGCCCGCATTGTCGGCGAGCGCCCGTAACGACTTCGCAGTAGAAGAGTTGTTTAGGTAATCGCTCATCGCCCATTCGCACGAGGTGGTCGCTCTATCGCATTTTTAGTTGCCTCAGCATAGTGTGGATGCTGAGGATTCGTGCCCGTTCCAAGACTTTTGTGTCCTGTTACTTATCTCCAATATTCGCCAGAGACAGTTGAGATGGGAGTTATTGAGTTTCCTAGCTTGATTGGCGTAGACGGTTCATGCCTCCGCCCCATACGGTAGCGTTGTCAGGACTACCGCCCTTTACGTCTTGACCGTTGTGCTGAGGTGGCGTCCGTGGCGTTTCTGGAAGGAGGCCTGCGGCCGGTGGAAGGCCAGGCTGGCTTTGCAATTCTGGTGAGCCACTTTGTCAGTTTTGATCCAGCGTGAGTGTATCGTCCAGATAAGTGAAATTGTGCATGGTTTTGTTTTGGGTGTCGTATGCAGTGGTACGAGAGACGTTGTATTCCGTGTCAGGTGACGGCCGGTGTATGCTCATCGTTTTGCCCGTGTTCAGGGTTAGACGGAGGCAACTTGGCCCGTTGCGTACCCAGTTCTGTCGCGGAGTTGGACGAGCAGTCGTCCGCGTAAAGCAGGTCGGGAACAGTAGTCTTGGATAGAAGCTTCGGGGCCTGCATGAGTAGGACGTCGAGAATTTCGTCGCCTGTAGTTTGAACAATGCTGGCCGCAGGGCGCTCATCACGGTAAGCCTCCATCAGCAAGGCAGAAAACATGAGAGTGTAGTGGGTGGGAGCGAGCACCCAGCCCTGCTGCACTCCACAAATCACTGTGAACGCCACTGAAACTGAACCACTGTCCGCGACGCGCGCCAAAATCGCGTCATGGAGCTGACGCATCGTACGTGTGAATCAGACAGGAAAGCTGAATTTTTGCATTATTTTCCAGAATCCGTCGCAATTCACGGTGCCGAAGGCTTTCGTCAGACTGATGGGAATAGTGCGGAGGGGGGTCCGCACTCCCTGACACTTCTCTTGTAGTTGGCGGGCGGCAAGGCAAATGTCGGTAGTTGAGTGGTGTCGTCCGAAGCCGCACCGGCTTTCCGAGTGAAGTTCCTATTCTTGGTGGACGTTAAGACGGTTTGGAAGAATGCGAGCATACACCTCGACGATGTTGAGTTGCGAGCTTCCTCTGTGGTTATCACAGAATTGCCGGTAGCCTTTCCGTTTTAAAAGATAGACGATGGTCGCGTTCTTGGGATTCTGGGAACGCCACATATTGAAGATCTTACGTTTCTCCGCTAGTCGGAGGCCACCGAGCTTGTCAATTTTAGCCGCGATCACGTTGGACCCCGGTGCTTTGCCGGTGGACAGCTGTTGCACGGTTCTGGTGGTTTCTCGGAGGGAAAGCGAGAGGTCCAGTTCGTTGTTCGTTTCCGCTTGGGGGAACCGGTCGATGGTGGCGTCGGGAGTTGTCGATGGGTGGTTGAAGACGGTTCTGAAGTGCTCAGCCGTCCGCTCAAGAGTTTGTAATCTCACCGCGAGAGGCGCTGTTCCGTCAGAGTTGAGAAGCGGCACGATTCCCTTGATTGTGGGACAATAGAACGTCATGATTGATGCGCAGAAGCTCTTTGTTTCACCGCGGTCATCGTAACCTTGGATTTCATGGACGCTTTGTTCCACTCAAGAGTCCTGCATCTCCTACAGTTGTTTTTGTTGCAAAAACCGGGAATTCAAATAAGGCCACTGTGTTTGCGTCCGCACGGCGGACGATGTAGGCCATGTACAGTTCATTCTTTTCGGGAGTAGGTTGCCGATTTCTGCATCGCTTTTGTTAAACCGGTCCTGTTGTTGGCGACATGCGCGACCGAGGACGTTTAGTACGGTAATGTGAATGACATACCGCAGTCGACATAACCGTGCCTTCACGATGGCGTTGTCGTATGGAGCCTGCAAGTCTTACAGTTCCTTGGTAAGTCGACTATTGAAATCGAAGTGGTGGGCAGGCAAATGCAACAGAACGTTATTTAACTTACCAGGTGGTCGCTTACCTTGTGGCCTCCGAAGACGAGGCGATGATCTGTCTAATCCCTGCAGATGGTCTTTAACAACAGCAAGTCCTTTCGACCCCCCTCCTCCCTTACGAAAACTTATTCCGGCAGCTGCCACCGCCGCCATCGGGGATGCATCCACACTCTGCCTGCTCCCGCTTCGGAGTTTGAAAGTGTAGGTCAGCAGGAGACGGTGTTCTGTACAGGTTCGTAGAGGGACTATGAGACTGTTGTCACTGCAGCCACCGAGTCTATGGGGACTCAGCACCCCTCCCGGGTACAGTGTTCTGCCCCAAGGCCGGCGTTGAGGACACCGGGGACACTCAGATTGTCCGCCTTCGGCACAGTCGTCAGGAGGGCCTACGGGTTTTCGTAAAGCTTCCTATTCGTCACGTCGGGAATGCCTGTTGGGAGGGCGTATGCGTTCGTGATAAGAGTAGAAATCGCTCTCCGAAGAAGCAGGCGTTGGCTCATGAGTCCGTTGTTGATGCCCTGCTTGAGCATCCCACGACGTCGCTCCGGATGGGCAAGGCAGCATAAGCATTGCGTCATTCTGCCTTTGGGTGACCGCTCTAGAAGGAGCTGTGGCCGGTACGCACCTCGTCCACTTGACCCTCTTTCGGAGAAGCAGGTTTCGCCGAGAATAGCAATATCCACTTTGTAGCGGGCCAGTTCCTAAGCAACAAGCGCCGCCCTCTATTCCGGTAGATTGCTCTGCGTATTGTCCAAAACAGAACGAGCTTTCTAAGCTGCCAGTGCGAACAGACTTACTCTAGCAGGCTGTGGGGTTGAACGGAAGAATGGGGGCGACAGTCGTTAGGTGTTCGATTGTTTTGACTGTGTGTTGTACATTGACGAGTCACGGTCTGCGTGCAGATGTCGTAATACCTGAATTTGCTTAGGGCTCCTCTTATGGCCCCCTTCCCGAGGGAGGGTAAGCAGGCCTATTGCCAAATAAGGCTGTTCAGACATTCTAGACGGCTTCCGAACTCCACTATGGGGCACGACTTTGTCGAGTGGAGAACGACCCGAGTTTGGACCACCAACGGGATTACACGCCGCACTCTCCGTATGACTTTTCGAAAATGGGGAGGGGAAAATAGGAAGTGGGGGTTAGGGGTAGAGTTGCCGACTTTTTGGATACTCAACACCGAATACCCCCATCTGGTTTAGTCCGTCGGTCGAGGGGGTTCCCCAGGTGTGACCGCCAGGTAGAGCCTAGTGTTGGAGGAGCGGCATGTGAGAGTTGGGCGTCAGTTAAGTGACGTAAGATGCAGTCACCCTCTGCATGATGTGACTCACCACATCTACACAGTTTACCCCCTAACTAGCCACCCTCGCACCTTCACGCCTTAATCAGGCTGTGCAGTGTCCGCGAGAGGCCATACCTACTGCCTTTCATAGGGGGAGTCGGTGGCACGCCTAGAGGTAGGTCTTCGCGTTGTGTCAGCCCCATTACCCAGCTCATTGGCATGATCGAGCAGCCGAGTAGTGCGCTGTGGAGAGCGGCCGACAGTAGGAGATTAATGTTCACGGCAAACCGACCCGTTTTCCATCATATTGACGTACTCGAATATGCCACGAAGGCGGACAGCGCAGATAAAGTAGCCACACGTGCCATTACGTTCAAATTTCAAGGAAAACGAGAATAAGCTGATTTGAGGATGTTCAACTAGGTAGGAGTGCAGACGGTGCGAGTGGAATACACTCTCAGTCTGGACAAAACACAATTCTCTAGATCAACGAGAAGATACGCGTACTCGCTTATCAGGAACACATATTCATTGGACTTCACTATGAGGTAGGTAGCGACACAAACGGTTCGACTGCGGAATCCGACCAATCAGACCTGCGTGGTATCAATGTTGATGCCTGTATCCATCTCGGTGAGGCACTACTGATCGAGTTCTTCAGTGTTCACAACGCGACTTTGTAGGGCTCGGTAGGAGCACAGCGCACCTGTAGGTAGCTTGATCATCCCCGCGTCGTCGTGCCTCCACCTTGTGCAGTAATCTGCTAGACAGTGCATTTGGTCCACTCTGTTGGCAGACGCACCAACAACTGAGCCGAGCTGCCATTTTATGCTCGTACACGAGCTTCAGATGTCGCTCAGTCTGGACTACGGCAGTTCGGCCGTAGCGGACGGTGATGTTCGTCTGTTCTGCTCTACGACATGGCAGACACAGGACGGTGACTTACTGGCGAATTAGTTCATAGTGACAGCAAACTTGCACAATATTTACCAACCTTCCTCCCCGCCTACAATACTGGGACCTTTATCTGCGACTGTCTCTGATGATGGATTCGATTGAGAATCTGAAACGTCAGGCCAATAAATTTCTTGTTCCAGCGATCTCGTCTTCGACTTCTGAACTGGGCCCATTGCCAAGACAGATAAAGCCAGAGGCGGGATGGCTAGCAAAAATGAACAGCCTGTCAACGCGTGCCACGCAAGACGGGCCAGGCTTTCACACACAAACAATAATGGGACGGCTCGGGTCCCAGTAGAGTGGGAGTGCCACCGAGGCCACATTAATGAGGAGCATTTGCAGACTCAGTTAGGATACCTCCGGGCCCAATGCAATGCCGACGTGACCAACCCACCACAAAATGTCACCACTATGGCCCCTGAAAACACCCCTCCTGTTTGTACGCAAAACTCACAACCATCTCCATCAGCAATTCAGGCGTATTTGCCACTTGTATCCAGTGCGTCGAGCTGTCGCAGTGTGGCCATATAGCTGGTGCCTGAAACATCAGCATGCACCACTCACGCACGGTCCACTAGTCTACAATGCCCAAGGCCATTCGGACACTGCATGGTCCTGTTCGGTCACATGCGTGCTCAAAAGTACCAATGGCAAAGCAGCGCAGCGCTAGTATTCTTGATACAATTCTCAGTACTTCCACACGCAAAACACACTTCGGCCTATTCGGTCACACGCTTATGCATGCTAGCAATCAACGTCATATGCAACAGCCATGTGGTGCGATTTACCAGTGTCTAGCGGCCGCACCGCAGTAGCCCCCTCGACCGGCCGGCTAAGCCAGATGAGGATATCCACGTGTGCATCTCCGCACACAGTAACTCAGCCTCGCTCCCACCATCGATGGCCGGATGGCCCACCGCCTCTGCTTCTCTGAGATCAGGCTCCGTCTTTAGCCCTACAGGAGGCTGTAAACACTTAGAAAGCTACTGATCCAGTGGCCGAAAAACCGGCCCCTACTTCTCTTTCGCGTCTGTTCTCCGTCCACCTCTGCCCCTCACTCACTCCACCTTCCGCTCTACGCTATCCCACGGTTGGAACTCCCACGGATCACCGCATAGCCACTTCCGAGATGAAGTTCCGTCAGCAACCCCGCTGGAGGCCACAGGGTAAGTGACTCCCCAGGTAAGTCGAATATTGCTATGCCACTTTAGCTTTTTGCTTGCGTTTGTCTATAATATTTGTCATATTTGTCCACCGAGTGCGGGTTGATATGAAGGAATTTGCAGCAAGAGCGCCTATTCGCGGCAAAGCGATGGTCACTAGGTTACGAAACCTAGATTCGTACAGGCAAAAATCTCAGACAGGCCCTGGAATTAGTACCGTCCAGAGAGAATTGGCCGAAACACAACATGCGGTGCAGGGCAAAATGTTATTTGCCCAGGTCTAGCAAAAGGACTGTAACAAAACCCCCATTACAGTTGTCCGGCAGGCGGGAAGTTAATGGTTAGGGCTTGAGTCCGAAAAAAATTACTGCTGGAACTGTCAGACCGCCTCTGGCACTTTTCACAGAGCTGTTTCGAACTTTAATTAAATATAGTTGAAAAATTAGAAAAAACTGCAAAGGAACAAATTCGCGTAGTTGGCCATTTAACGACTTGAACACCTCTATTTTCAGATTATGGGAGATAAGGAAGCATAGATTATTCGCACAGCAGAGAATTGCTCCATCCGCAGGTCAGGAGTAACGCAGTGTGGACGAAATCGGGAGCTGGTCTGTTCGATTCCGCCTGGAAGACACGCATTTGTTGACTGTGCGTTTCTCCATTTTTACTGCCTGTCGTCAGAGAGCTCCATTCAGACTTTCTGTCAATGCTGCATGGCAGATGAAGAATCCCCTTTAACTGTCAAAAGGAGTTGAAGGATTCTCGATTGGTGTGTACATGAAGTGCGCCGACGGCTGTACAGATCAGCAGTCGCGTTGAGGAACCGCTGAAGTCAACAAACTCGATATCCCACAAGGAAAAACGGACCATAGGGAAGAGTACATTGGCAACAACAATGGTATACAGCCAAATAAAGTAAGATGGTGGTGTAAACGCTATAAAAGGATCAAGTTACAGTGACGCAGAAAGCATCCAGAGAGCAGGAGGGTGACCCCAGTATCTTACAAGACTGCGGGAGATGGGGGCATGCTAAAGCGCCCTCAGGCCAGATAATTATACTGGTCGGGATCGTTGGGAGAGCGTTCGAGATAACCCTTCTCGATGAGATTTTCGATGCAGCGTTTAATGAGTGGCACTGCGGGCTGGAACCTTCCCTTGGCCATGTCCAGGACACACTTGATGAGCATTGTGTGCTTGCACGTTTTCCGAACCTTCATGATGCGCACAATTGCTGCTTGCGTGAAGAACCGGCGATCCTCTTCCACCTCCTTCTCACCGCGTTCGGCCTCCTCCTGAAAGGAGGTAAATATCCGTTAGCTCTCCTTCAGTGTCGCATGCAATTTGGGATTGCGTATTAAATAATAATGTCGTCAATGTTATTATTGGTAGTACTGCTACTGTTTGGTGGTGGTTGTATTAGTAGTAGCAGCAGCAGCAGTAGTAGTAGTAGTAGCAGCAGCAACAACAGTAATGGTAGTAGTAGTAGTAGTAGTAGCAGCAGTAGTAGTAGTATTAGTAGTAGTAGTAGTAGTAGTAGTAGTAGTAGTAGTAGCAGTAGTTAACAGACGGGCACATGGTGCCATTGTTCAGGTCAACCTTCTGATCTGACAAAAACTCCCCTGCACGATAGGTTGTTTAGAGGAAGGGCAAGCTAAAAGACGGAAGTCGGACAAGAAGAGAATGAGTTAAGACCACTGGTGACAGAAATACCACCGCCTACGAGTAGATGTAACTGTGATAGTGCAAGCGCAGGCAGCTGTGAGCGCCTCTGCTCTGTGACTGTCTCTGATTACGGTTTAAGTGAGGGGGTGAGAAGTCAGGTGGTTAAGCATCGTGTTCCGGGAATCGCAGGCTTACTAATTAGTCCTCTCACTGATTGGGTTTCCTGTTCCCATGAGCCCAGGCGACTTTGTCCAGTGCTTACTGCCAGCAGCATGTGCACCCTCGCTTCAACAAAAACTGTCCACCCGACTCTCTCATTCTCTCTTTGGGACGTACGGCTATCGTGAATAGCACACGATGACCTGTTTGATGCAATAACTCCAGCGAACAAACCGGGAGAGCGATGCCACAAAACTGCCTAGTTGCTGGGTTAAATTTGCTACATGGTGGAATTATATCGTCGCGTAGGCACTACTAGAGCATGTCAGTAGCCACGAGTGGCATGGTATGTACAGTAGATGTGCTAACTCATGAGATGTCAACCAAAATTTCGAAATGCGTTCTCGTTTCGAAAAGATAAATTAAGTAGTGTTGTAAAACTAATCATGTTGCAGCATAAATCTACAATGATCCAGTTACCTCAGGGTGTCGGTATCGAAATAACTTATTTTCGGCTGCATGCATGATCTATACTCTGCAAAAATGACTACTTAAGTAGCATGCAATCTTCCCATTGATTTTCGATGCCCTTGAAAATTCAATTATATTTCATGGAATACGTGCATAAAAATATTCATTCTTTTACTTATTCGGTAGAAAATCCCATCTTCCAATTTCATACTCAAAAGAAGAGTATAATTCGGTTTTAAAAAAATTTCTAATTGTGAGATTTTTTAATACCGTTAAATGGCCGTTCATGAAACGTCATGTATCTGCATTTACGAATGTGGCCTGTAAAGTTAACAATATTGCTCAAATCCACCTCATATGGTCTCCTCTTAACACCGTAGAGAAATGCATGGTTTACCGTACACGGAAAATATACAGCTTGTAGTTTTGAAACCCTGAATGCAAGTGTAACAGCAGGTCAGGTTCAAAATTATTTGGGAATTAGAAAAGTTTTTTAACACCGAATTATACTCTTCCTTTGAGTATGAAATTGGAGGAAGACGTGATTTTCTACCGAATAAGTAAAAGAATGAATATTTTTATGCATGTTTTCCATGAAATATAATTGAATTTTCAAGGGCATCGAAAATCAATGAGAAAATTGCATACTACGTAAGTAGTAATTTTTTGCAGAGTATAGATCTTGCATGCAGCCGAAAATAAGTTCTTTCGAAAGCCGACACCCTGAGGTAACTGTATCATTGTAGATTTATGCTGCATCATGATAAGTTTTACAACACTACTTAATTTATCTTTTCGAAACGAGAACGTATTTCGAAATTTTGGTTGACATTTCATGAGTTAGCACATCTACTGTAGAAAAGCTGTTCTATAAGCAAAGGAGCCAAGGCGAGTAGCAGTTCAGGACGGCAAGGTTAGCTAGAAGGTGAACAACTTGCCTGAGCGGACTCTCTTGTTTGAGGGAAGTAGCTGATCTTAATCCGCAGTCGCTTGCTGGTAAACTCGGGATTCAATGCAATTATGGCGTTCTCCTGAAAATAGACAAGATGACTTTTAGGCGAAGACTCCGAGAAGGATGGTGAAGCTTGAAGGAGGGGTAAAACGGCAAAAAGCTCCTCTTTTGGCAAAAAACCTCTTAAGGGTGCTCGCCGAGACAGCCATAGTATAACATAGTTTTTTCAGTGTTTTCATATGAAAAATTCGGACGCAATATTCGACCCAACTTTGAGCATTACTTATTACTGTCTACTGGTTCTTACGAAAGTAGTGTTGTTTAAGCTGGACACACTGATTGCCTTTTTTCAAGATAACATAAATGTTCGCTTAAATATCACATTCAGTTTAAGTGTCGGTTGTTATACACGCTAATTTGGTATACTTTACCCTTTCTGGCCACCTTGGCGGCTCCCCTGTGTTCCCCTGCGCTGCATCATTTGTCGTGTCGTTGGGTCAACGTTTTCACTTTACTCTTGTGGGGTTCGCCAACGCCATCTGTCCTTAGGTTTCTATTGGCTATTTCGCTGCCTTGCTCTCCGAACTTGGCGATTTATTGTGCAAGCGTTATATTTAGCTTCCTTTGATTTTTTGTTGTTAAATTTCGCTAGTATTCAATTTTTCGGGTCGTTTTCCGGTCATGCACGGATATACTGAACCTATTCATGGAATTGGAACATTTTTCCAAAATTTCATCCTTTTTAACCACTTTTTCCCATCCATTAGCCTCGCCCATATCATACCTACTTCCACCGGTCTCGTAAGACACGACAACCTATCCTCCGCATTCCGAATGGGGTGGCATACTGCGTCGTTGCCGAAAATTCAACAAAAACCCAGACTTTGATGAATTTCCCCTGTCTCTGCCAGTCACTGTAGCACCGCAGCGTCAGGGCGGGAAGGAGGGGGCAGCAGGGCCTACCTGAAGGGCATTTTGACCCTGTGAAGAATCCAAGGTCCGAAGAGACAGGATGTTGGCCTCCACAAGAGGAAGGACAGCTCGTCTAATCGCGTCGGCATCCAGAGACTGGACGACGGAGGATGTTGCGCCAGCGCTCGCGGGGGCGGCGGCGGAAGGCTGTACACTGTCCACTGCCATTGGACCACTGTCGGATGTGGCGGAGACGGACTTGGCTGGGGTCTGCGAGGTGTCCGCAACACGCGGCTGCAAACCCAGGCGCAGGTCAGCAATACTCAACTGATCCACGTCTAGGCTCTCGAAGAGCAGTAGGACAGCTGCATTGAGGCTGGATAGGCTGATGATGTAGGGTTTATCGGTGTAACAGCAGCGCAACTCCGCCGTGGAGTAGGATTGAGCCCAGCGCAAACGGCGACCGTTGTAGGCCGTCTTGTAGAATTCTTCAAAGTGCGTATTCACGGAAAGGAGATCTGACGGTAGGCTGAACTCGGTGGCATTCTTCAATGAGATGGGCCAGGCGCTGAGCTGGGGAGGCATAAAGTGAGGACAACCGGATGATGGATGGCACACGCTTGAACACCCCTACCGTTTTTGACACCGCTATGGACCTTGAGCTACCTAAACAGGCTAGAATTTGGGAGCATTTCGAAATAGATTCTATTTGATCACAAATGATTGAGGATGAAAAGCAGTAGAAGCAATGCGCTTACACGACCAACCAAGCACAAACAGGCTTGAGGGGAATCAAAACAGCCCATTCAAAGTACATCTCGGGAGGCATGAGTGGATCGCACTTTGCGAAGAGTTTAACATAGGCTGCACAATGCCCACCGGTATTGTGCAAGTGTCGCAAAGTGGAAACAGGAGAGCTGGATTGAGGAGAATTCCACATACAGCCGCTACACTCGAATTTTATTAAAACATGCTCGAGTAGGAAGTTCAGACAGCGCACAGTAAAAACGTGTAAAGAGACGCTCAACAGATTTGCCGAGACCGACTAACAACAGTTTTTTTTTCACCACATTCGGGCAACGGGACTCGTATGTTTAACAGAAAACAATTGCGTAATGCTCAGACCTCAGGTGAGGGCCATAGAAGTTTCCGCAAGGGCTTAAGCCACCGATAACCTGCGTATCGCTACCTCCAGAATGTGCAGACAAGACTGCACGAACCTCACCGGTCTCCTAGCCATTGTGGGCTGTGACGCGGGCTAACACTGCTTGACTGACTTACTCGTGAGCTAAATCATGACGAGGGAGGCGTACTAGTTGCCAGCCCCATTCTGCCTGTCTTTCGACAGTCAGACAGAGCCAAGACGACTGGGCGTGAGTGCAGTGGTTGGGTAGGTATTCACCAGCCACCCACCAAACCCTAGACATGGCACACATGTGCTGGTCTCTCAACCCACGAGTCGGACTTCGAAAATTCCGATCTTACAGTGGTGAGTTCATACAATCCCACAGAAAGAAGGAGCCATCGCAACCTGACCACCAGCCTGGTGGACAAGGTTACATCGCCAAGTGGCAATCTTCAAATCTGGAACCTCTACGGCGTTGTGATAACTCCAAATCGCGTCGGATCAGCCTCACTCTAGCCTTCTTCGTTCATTGTCTACAAGTAGCAAGACTTAGTCAATTCGACCGGTAAAGAGACTGAATACAAATCCGTTGTATTTTAAATGTCACGAACGTATTCGATACACGTTTGAGTATGACGCAACATTGATGCAGACTTTGGGGAGTCGCGGTCTTACATAAAGAGCATCAAGTTACACACACTCTTTAGACAAAAGTGCGTAAACGGATAGTAGCAAGGTTGGACTCGTATACAGCGGCCGATAAAAGTGTCATACGAGCATCTCTTAAGGACCCGGATTTAGGGAGACCATGGTTCCCAGCCTAAAAGTAATTTTCTGATTTAACACATGATACTGATTTGAGCATTTACAAGTTTAACGTGTTTTTAGGTCGCGGCCATTTAACGACCCTGTGTCCTTTTCAAAGAAACTGCACCCTTGCGATAACTTGAAGTTACTCTGTCTCTGGCGGTCCTTTCATGTTAAATTCATTTTAACAGAATTCGCAAACCTGTATAGCACGTCCGACGGTTACGTTGCTACCACACTAGCAAGCCCTCAACCTGGCGATGCTCTGTTTCTTCGCCACTACTGTTCTACCACGTTGTTTATTTCACTGAAAAATGGCATTCCCTGCTCGAGGTTCGCCCACTGCGTGCTTCCTCCTGCTGTAAATGTCTCCTATTTCTTCCTGATACACAATTTCACAGACTTGTGGTAGTGAGACATCCTGGTGTCCGTGATTTAGTCACAATGACTTGTGAACATTTGTAAGCTGAAAACCTTGAAAGATTCCCTTCATAGCTCAGGTGGCTAGAGAGTTGGTTGTACTCAAACCTTCCCCTTGCTGTTGTGGTTTCGAATTCCACCGAGGTCAGTTGGGTGAAAATCAATTATTCAAAACCTGCCAAAACACCCACGTGAGTCTGGTAGGCATCTGGTGGGTTCTAGATGGATTACATAGGAAATCCTGCTTGGACAGTCAGCTACCTCTATCAAATTTGGTGGACTCCACAATTTGCAATAGGCTGGGCGGTAACTTGACTCAATGTGGTTAAACTCGTGGCCGTACTCAAGCCCTTCCCTTGTTTTCGTGGGTCGAATTCTGCTGAGTTTGCCGAGTTTTTCCCAGTTGGGTCAAAATAAATGTAAGGTGCACCAGGATGATCAGCCCCTGAAACACTTTCCAGCTACTAATGCTTGCCTAAAAAGAAACACTTTTGGTGATTAATAAAAACTCCCCATTAAAATAAACGCCTCCAACGTACTGTTAGGACGTCAAAGTGTGGTGCGAACCGGACCTGCACACCACGTTCGCTGAGGTAACGTTGGAAATTGGAGTTCAGATCTGGCGCGAGCTGTATGTCATTGAACATGCGTTGGAACTTGCTTGTGAACTCGTAGCCGCACACCTTATTCAGTTGGTTTATTGCCGACTCCTCAACATCGAGGAGGGCAGATGATCCGAATATAAGGCGATAGCACAGGTGTCTCTGGTAGTGCTACAAAAATGATGATTGATAAGAAAAAACACCAAAAATGAGGTCAGATTTCAGACAGCGACCACTACACGGAGAGATCAAGCGCATAGTGCTCAAAATTCTCCAAATCCTAGTGGGAGAGGTAGTAATTATGATACATTCCCTTGATCTATAAAAGTGGCCGTCGGAAACTAAGATGTACTATAGCCGATAATCGGATCCTTATGGACGGAAGCACGAAATTGACAGCACAAGAAAGGGAAAAGGATCAATTTCCACAAGCTAGCAGGAAAGCGCAAGTAGCGTTGATGTCTAGTACGGCGCGCTTAGATTATTTAGGAAAACTTGTTCCCTTTCCTTCTGCCATCGCATAAACCTCAGTAAGTTCTCTCGAACTATCAGGATTGGAGGCATTCTTTTTTCCTGAGAACCGGGCATATATTTCCAGCGGATATTCCTAAACGGGTATTTGACAGTACCGTTTCCTCTATGAACCTGGTACAAAGACTACTAGAAAATCCGAATGGTTAACCGCCGCAAATACCCTCGTCCTCAGTATAGGCAGCTAAGAGTCAGGCTTTGGAATCCTGTATTAGAGCAGCCGCCTTGTATGTTCTATACAACCCCAGTAGAATCGCAAGATCAGAAAATGCAAGGGCAACGTGCAGACAGCGATAACGAGAGGTAATGAAGTCGTGAACCGTGTCGACGGAGAAAGGGCGACGGGAGTCCGACGTCAGCTCACTTTTTGGCGTTTCATGCGAAAAAGTCTAGAATTGGTTTGCCAGGAATACTGCTGTGTCTGATTTGCATAAAAGCAGACTAAGATCCATAAAACGGTGCGGATGCCTCCTTTTCTTCCCCAGCTAAGCACAAGTTAAACAAAAAGGATCGGCAGAGAACAGACAGACGCCGTTCCTGTCGTCCAGTACGGGGACATGAAAAGTGATTCTGTTAAAAGGGATTTGGAGCTAACACCTATGGATGTTCTGATGACCAAAAAGGGGATAACAAAGTATATAGCCAACGACTGAGATAGACAGATAGGCAAGAGGTCTTGCCTTCCGAAAAATGTCCTTCTCTTCTATATACTTGAAGAGGGTAATTGAAGCAGTCAGCTTGGCCTCTAGTTCCGCGTCGCTGCAATGCTTCGAAGACTTACGAAGCAAAGTGTCCATGTAGCGGCTCAGATATTCGGCAGCCCGAACATTTGATCTAGAAAAAATTCGAAGTGCTGATTTTAGGGAGACTATTATGAAACAATGTAGGACCTTGGACAAGACGCGTAATTATTAGCTGAGTAATAGGAATTCAGCTGAAAACAAACACAATGACCACTCGCATTCAAATACCGAAACCAAATGTAAACAACAAGAACGCAGTCAACCTCGGCGGGGTTGTTGATTTCGGACTAGAGTTGATGGCTTGTCCAAACGCCTTGTCCATTTCGTTTCTGAATGAGGACATGCCCTCGAAGACTTCGTCAATGAAAGTGACGAAACGATTACGTAGGTCAAGTAGACTCTCGACGAAGTAGCTCGGGGCAAGCTAGAAGGAGAAGGGAATGACTCAAATGGCGGAGGGGTGGTGGAAATCTTGACAGGATACTAAGACTGGTAATGTAAGTAAGACTACTTCGTGTCGCAAAAAGAGCAAATCTATCACAACGTAAAAATGGAAAGGCAAACTAAAATAGTCCAACGGGTTTCAAACGTGCCCTTACACCCTAGCAGACATTATTGGGGCACGAACTGTTAACTCAGCGGTTCATAGCTCCAAAGGTCTGTGGATGACGAGGACACCATAAAAACGGTATAGATCCTCCTGAGACCTAAAGCCAACTAAGCCAGTGAGCGTGGGGACCAGCACCAAGTTACACGGATACCTTGAGGTCCTAAACGCCGACTATGTGGCTATTAGAAGATGTTATCTAACCGCGCATGCTCTACCCATGAACGGATATAGATTCGGGAGAACACCTTCCGAACCGGGACAGTCGAAACTGAAATTCGGCTGGCACTGGTCGAAAAGCTGGCGCGCAGGGAACATGACGGTTCGACAATCGTGATCAAGGATGTCCACCGTGTACTCCACAGCAGGTGTAGAATCACACCCCCTGGTCCACAACAAACACTTGACCAGGGTTTCAGCCAAAAAAACCAATTGGGGGGGAGGGGCAGGAATCCCAGTTGGCGCGACGTGAACCGTCAACTGTGCCTGCCATCACGCCCCGAATGTTGACATTCGTTATGGGTGTGCATTCCCGATAGCGCGTACCAGAATCCAATGTGGCCACCATGCTGGTCCAGCGCATTTACTGCATGGCCCGTTTTGGGGACACATGAACACATACGTAGATAAACAAGGGCGTGATAGTCCTTAACTAAACCGTTTTTTGAAGCAATGTTTTCCCGGACTAAATTTGAATAAGGCAAAGGCGACAAAGCACGCATTATTCACTGACGTCATAAATTTCGAGACCTTTCATTCAGCTGCGTACGGTCATTGCATAGTTATATGACAGGCAAACTGTTCACTCATCGATCGACCTAGAAAGATAAAACTTCATAGGTAACCTGAAACATGGGTCTTGTATGTGGGTGCATAGGGCGAGGGGGGTAAGGGGGGAAAGAAGTCATCCAAGTATGAGAGGAAGGACTACAGTGAGAACTTGTCCGGCGTGATTTGGAGTGCACCGCGCGGGCAGCATTCAGTCTCGGACGCGCACTTCGAAAAAACGGCTTATAAAGAATTTAGTACCTTTTCTACTTTTACCGTTTCTTCCTAGTAAAGATCGCATTTCAGAATTTCTGTAAGCATTTCACGAAATTGGTCACTGACTGTAAATCTTGGTACATTTAAACTCGTGACCGGACGCGTTCGCTCTCTACCACTATTACTGGCACATATTTTCGAGTAGCTAATTAACAAATGGGATGGACATTTCATTCCAGTTTAGGATCAAGTCGACTTTCAGGCATTCCAAGTTGGGCAGAAACCCTGCCTGACTGGTTCTTCTTTCTAACCTCCCCCCCCACGTCCTGTGTCGAATTCAAGTCAGGTGATGGCACCGGCCACGGAAGAGTTCGTAACCCATTGATTTTGTAAAGATTTTAATAATTTCCGGTTGAATTCTCCAGTCCAGCTGATAGCTGTGCTCCCGGTATTGAACGATGTCCTTCGTCACTAACACACCGATGCAGAATCATGAGTGCAATCCTGCCAGTTGCTCATGTTAACCTGCCTCCCAACCCCACGTACCGCGACCCCCCTATTATCCTGGGAATTGGATGGATAAATTTCCCTGTCGACTGTTCAATAGTTGTTCTCCGAACTTTGATTCGTTCATCTCGGTGTTTTAAGCCGTATCACGATTCGTCAGTCCACGTTAGTCGACTTCACGACACAATACATCACAGACGACGTCGCACCGATTGCTCAAGCCTTGGTCTTAAGTAGCAGAATTTAACAAGGATTTTACACGCCCTAGGTATCCGCCTCTGAAATGGAACTCAATAGTCGGACAAATTGGCTTGTTCATGGTGACCAGTATTCTCAGAAACTAATGCATTGTTTCAAAGTTCTTCTATCGACCTTCAATTGTGTGCACAGTCAGTCTGACCATCTCAATTAAAGTATTAGGATCTGAGGGTGGACGAAAGGGAAGTCAGACACTAGGATAGGCGATTAATGAACAAACTGCCTTAGTAAGAAGTTCAGTACAAGCAATGTAAGGATAAAAGGGGGTTGCGCACGTGTCCATTCGGATCAGCTGGTTTAGTAAAAACCGACAAAACAACTGATAACCCAACCGCATTTCTTTTCTTCAGTATTTTTTTCTTTTTTACACTTTTAGATCGGCAGTCATCATATGCGAGACAAGTGGTTTCGCACGGAGATTTAGAACAACGGGACGAACATATCCTGTAATCCGAGCGGTGAACCCCTTTCCACGGTGGTTAATCTACCCAATCACGACCGACAGGACGACGGGCCCGTGGCCCAACTAACCTCGGACTTCTTAACGCTCAGCGACCAAAAAGCGGATTAGACTCCCAGGTCATTCAGACTTTGGGTTGACGACATTTACTAAGCCAGAAATGACCATTCAAGTCCAGCATGTCTTTGTTGGTACCCTCTTACCCGCAGTTTTGAAACAGTTGAGACTCTGGCTTTCCGTAATTTACATCAGAAAAACGAAACCAGTCGTTTCTGAAAAAACACCTTACTATGCGGTCTTCATCGTTTCTCATGTGCCCTTTTCACGACAGCAAATTTTCGCTAAATTCAATGACGGGAAACTGCAGAAAGCCCCTCTGAGCGCAAAATGGATTAAGTGGAGGATCATACCTATCCAAAAAGTCGCGGTTTTCTCAAGGCCTTTTAAGAGGGCATGAACAAAGAGTGCGTGAAACTGCCTCTTCTTTCATGTGCGATGAATTTTGAAAAACAACAAACCGGAGGGAGCCACTGTTTTGTACGCCTTTTCCGAATTAAAGTTAAGCAGCAAAGACGCTTGGCTCTTGAAATCCGGAGGACTCAAGGTCCCGATTTTTAAAAATCACATACTCTTTGTGCAAACTGAACACTATCGACAGAAAACTGCGAGTATGGCAAAATTCCTCGAGCGGAAGAAGCACAAATAACCCTGAGCAAACTCACACCCTGTGAGCCATTCTTCCACATTCGCGTACTTCAGCAACTGGTTAAGGCCTATGAAGTCTCGCTGGGCATGTTAATGGCCCGTATGTTAAACAAAACGGCATATTTTCGGATATACATATGTAATGGCATAGCAACAGCATCCTATAAATACTGAAATACTTGTGCAAGGCACTACCCCTATCTGGTTCTTTCTCAGATGATGAATCCGGCGGATAAAACTCTTGTTCCGACAATCGTGCCTCTTTCTTCTTTGCAAAACCAACAACGCCAGACAGTAATGACTGTCTCACTAAACCCCTACTGCACACGTAGGTTATATGCGTCGTCTGGTTGCCCTTCTGTATCTGCCAAAATAGATGTCTAATGGACGAGTAGCTTGTTTTGTTGATGGGTTGAAGTGGGGTCAGATGGCCCAAGGTGATGTTTTGGTGATATGCCGCACGGATAGTTTTGCAAAAGCTCTTTATTGCAGTACGGTCATATAACACTGCTTTCTTTGGATTCAGTGAAGGCTGTGCAAAGTTCGAAATATGAACTAATAAAAGGGTAACTAAAGAGAAAGACCAAGCAAAATGCCGAAGGTTAACCAAGAGACTCACATTAGGATCGCTAGGCAGGGCTGCGATCGCAGCGTTTACGAGCGTCTTGACATGGGACCCAAAGCAATTGAGCAATTCCGCACACTGGTTTGTCGGAGATAACAGCTGGAAAATGTTCATAAGTGCTAAAACACGTAAAGAAACAGAGGAGCAGTGTTTAGAGGATTACTGAAAAGAATATAAATTTCAGACGAACTTATCGCGTCCTAATAAAAACGAGAGGTCCTATGAAAGCGTGGACAATTATCTGGCTACACATTCTTTTAGTCCAAGAAAACTCGTAAACTAAATACAATCGATTTTAACAAAGTTCGAGCAAACAAAAGCGTGGCAGCCCGACCAACTGATGAGATATAGGCGCAAATTAAACTAAAAACTGTTGAACAACAGTTTCTGATTTCAGTCAGGTCCACATGAAAACAACCACGAGAATTCCATCATCACGTATACGGCCGTTTTGACTAGAAACTCACATAGTAGCTATTGTCAGCAATAGAGCAAAACAAAGTTTGGAGTTCTGACTTTTCGCATAATTACTGTGACCACAAGTGAAACAAACGACAAACAATGGGGTTTCACCTTGCTTGTTCTCATCTTTTATGAAGGTAGAAACACTTGCATTCAAAAAATCCAGTCGTTGTTGAACAATGATGTCCTTGAACAATTTCTCAATAGAAGGTAGTGAACTCTTATAAAATTTCGTAGCTCTCTCGGTTTCGTCCCTCCGCAAAGTCAGCGCCTACAAATGCAATTTGGTGGGAAAACCGTGAATTTGATATATGGGCTGTAACAGTAAGAGACAAAGATGTAACCACCAACGGTGCTCTTCAGGAAAACGGCCATCTGATAAAGACACTGGCACGAAGCCTGTCGAAAAGACGAACTCGAAAAAGGAGGCGTAAGGAGGAAGAATGAAATCTAAAGATAAGCGACTTCGCGACTCTATGAGGTTATAAATCCTGCATATATTTCTCTACTATTCACGCGAGCATTCCTCGATACAAATGGCGGTTAGTAACGAGGCTAAGAGGGTAATTTTTGCTTAGGGACTGTAGATGCAGCGCAGGCAGTGTGGTTACGGGAGTGCGTGAGTGCAAGTGCAGTCCACGCAGCCCAAATCTCCTCTTTAAAAGTCAAACTGCCAATAGAAGTGAAGAGGCGAGTTATAGGAAGTGGTCGCGAAGGATGAGACACTCTGATGATGGGTTCGAGTGAGACTCCGAAACGTCAGGCTAAAAAGCTCTTGTTTCAGCGATCGTGTCTCCTTCGCAAAAGTCAAGCACCCATCCTCCGTATATAAAACCAAATAGAAGAGACGTTCGACGAAATATACGCCTTAGAGGATGTAAATCGGTATCTCCGTTCTTCTCCGAAGTTTCCCATCTTGGGCCGAGGAGGGTTATCGTACAGTTACTAATAATAAATAATTAATGTTACTGGCAACGACTAAAAATAGTGTAAAACAAGGCAATTAATACCAAAGAAGTAGGCGGCAGACTATTCCCCGTATAAAGATCAAACAATGTTGACAAGAAGACTATGCTGAGCTCAACCAGGTTCCACTTAGCACACAAACCTAGCAGAATCCTGTGGTCTTTTCCGGGGAAAGAATGATAAACGGCTCTTCAATAAACTGAAGCAGGAAGACGAAACTAAAGCTTAAAGAACAGAGGAACTTAAACATCAAAACCGCACGAAAGAATATAAATTAATGCAAAGGAATGCTCGTTGCAAAGTCCAGATGGGAGGTCTCTGTTGACTAAGGATTTATATGAATTCGCAGCTCACCAGGTCAAGTAAAGGTGTACCAATGACGACAGTACGACCTTCGTTCCCGATAATGACCACCATGTGCTCTACAACAGGGTGAGAGCAGGGACGGCGACTTGTGCGTGAATTAGTTTACAGTGATAGTAGACTTCTGCTGCACCTATCGCATTCTCTCCTCCACTACCACCGTCTGGTGTCAAGACAGGATCAAAAAGGACCGGAAATGGGAGAGGGCGCAGGGGGCTAGCACGGCGAAAACCTGCACTTGGACGCACCACCACGCTGCCTGGTCCACGACGTACAACGGATCAGGATTTTACACAACAAAAAAGGAGTGGACGGCTCGGGTCCCAACCGGCGCAGCGCGAGCCTGCATCTGGGTGTGCCGTCACACCCCAAGTATTGGCATGTGTTATGGGCGCGCATACCCAATAACGGCTGCTGGATGCCGATGTGGCCCCCGTGTTGATCCAACGTATCTGCCGCGTGGCCCGTTTTATGCGCCAAAGTGTACGGAAAGAAAAGGGTACGTAAGTGCAGTAATTAGGAATAGGGTAAGGTGGCATTCGGATAATGACGCCAAGAAAGTGCGGGGGAAGCATCCAAACAACAGGCGAGACGGCACCTGAGCGATGTAATCTGTACATTCCAAAGATGTCTCCATCCCTTCCGCCCAGGACGAGTAGTAAGTCCGAGTATTTTCAAGCAGAGGCGCCTCAAAAAGTTGTTGGTACACGTCAAGAGACGTCTAAAATAATGAAGAAAGTGTTTGAATGAATGAGAAGCAGAAAACAAGCCTAAGGATTTTAAAGCAAGAAAAGTCATGGATCTGAGGGCAAATCCAGGACTTCATGTGTTCTGTATAGGACAATTGGACCAGAAGCTTCAGTACGACCGCAGAGTCTATAGCAATTTGGTCCATTGACGTTGAATGTTTTGGTGCATTTTTTAAGTATTCCAATTAGCTGACATGCACAGTGAAGGAATGATTCACAGAGTTAGGTATTAAAACTTCGTCTCGTGAGTTTATACCTGCAGTGGTGGTGGTGCTGGGACGCCTAAAGTTACCGAAAAAAGACGCGAACGTTCATGTTCACCCGCCAAATCAAGTTGATGCTGCCTGTTGGATGCGACGAATAGGTCAGCTCAGAACCTGGCTCAGTATGATCCGGTAAAATATTGGCGTGATCTACTGACCTCAGGTATTTAGTTTCATGTGTAGGAAAAGGGAATGAGTCAAGTGCAAAAGATACACTACCTTCAATCACCACGCGCGGGACCTTAGTAGAACCAGCAAGGTTACGCACAATCACAGCCGTATCAAGTATAAATTAGATTTCTACCAGTAGCTGCTGTATGCGTTTGAAAAACCCTCAGCAAGTAAGGTCCTAGAGTCTAAATTTAAATTTTTTGACTACATGAAAGTCATAGGGTCCCGATCATACTGACTAGGGGACAGAACTTGAAGACTTGTTTAACTGGTATTAGATGATGAGTGGTAAATAATAATGATAGTAATAATAATGATAATGATAATAATAATAATAATAATAATAATAATAATAATAATAATAATAATAATAATAATAATAATAACGGTAATCATAATAACAATAATGGGAAGAGGGATAGGGATGACTTAAAATTAGATGATAGGTAAACTGTGTGAGATGCAGTGATTATGAAGCTAAAGGGGTCGTAACACTGGTTGTTATCATTCCTCGGCAATTATCTTAAGCAGTTTACAGTCGCGCAGACAAAGTACAGTTTGCATAAAGTGAGTCATAAAAGGTCAATAAAAAGGACGCTAAACTCATCGGGTGGTGGAAGACAGAAGATACCAGAATAAAGTTCAAAACCAAGTAAATGCGTCAAAAGGGAAACATATATGATTCGTCACTAACCTTCATACAACCCTTCAGTTCATCTACGTGCTTAAATGAGTCCAAACACGGAACAATGCACAGTTGCTGGTGTTCACAACCAGTTCGATGGCTGTATCACCGTTAGCAGAAATAATGAAAGTACCCAGTGACCTCTTTGAGCAAACAGACGGTCAGGCGATCTCGCAGTGGCTCAATTAAGTGCGTTTTCCATTGTGAAAGTCCGAGTTCCATTATTTCCATGTTTACTTTTTCGTCCCCCGTTAAAATCATACCATAGCACGTATCAACTGGACGAGTCAGCCCAACATACTGGGCATTCAGAAAACTGACGGATCGAAAGCACAAACGGCGCCTTACCCACAAAGTCGGTCAAGAAAACCTAGTCCTCGATAGAAGGATAACCAGAACTGAACGTAGGATTTTAGCAGTGATTCGTCATCACAGGCCGAAATTTCTTCATGAATCTCAATCACCCGGTTTTTTATGAGCAAAGTAATCTCTTCATATAGTTTCGAAGCATACTGGACGGGTCGTGAAACGCACAGGGCATAAACGTCGTCAAAACTGGCATTCCATCGGTCGCGAGTTATAGACTCGCATCGAATAACTTTGTCACAGACCACCTTCAGTTCATTCCATGTTGAAGAAAAGTCCACTGATATCGTTTTAAAGGCCATTCAACGGCTTATATGCGCAACTTGGAATCCTAAAGCAACACAACCGCACACTTTTTTTCGTGTTTACGGCAAAAATGTGACCGGAAAAACAACGCCAAGTATCCGCAAAGCAGAACAAATAACTCTGAACTTCCGTGGTTTGAATATATGTCGGTACTTTCTTTTCGAATTCTCAATAACAAATATCAAGTTTTGGTCCAAAAATATTTAATAAAGCATTGTATTCTGGAGGGGAACGATTAATAGAAACTATTGCAGACTCGTGGACGCCAGGTGGGTAGTGTCTGGATAAACGGGTTAATTTAAAACCCATAGGCCAAGACATGGAATGGCACACTTTGAAATAACCTAACTCAACATCCCACTTTTGGTCAGTACTTCAGTGTCCCTCGATTTAGCAAAAAAGTATTAACTGCAGGAGGGACGCAAACACGTTGAAGCACGATTGTGCACACGGTTGCATGTGAAACCAACAGCCAGCGAGATGGTTCGAAAGGTGTAAGAGACGTGTCAATAGTCTGTGGAAATCAAAGCTGCTCATGAAAGTCGAAAATAAGAACAAAGGTTTAATTACGATACTGGGAAGTACATCTGACACACAAAACCGGCCAATCGAGATAAATAAATACAACAGAAAAAGAGGAGTTTTAGCATTAACTAAAAAAACATAAAATACGCAGATACACATAAAAGCGAGTACAATGACAGCCACGTTTCTGTTATTGCTAATATCATCCGGAGGCGTATCGGCTACCTGTATTGTCAGTTCGTCAAGCTTGGAAAACGGACTCTGAGCATCGGTCCAAAAGAATTTAAAATTGCAACATTCGACAGTGCTTCGTTTAATTTGTTTCGGGTTTCCCAATATCATGTTGCTGCCGCCATCTTGATGACTGGCTGGTTTCAAAGCATCATCGCATTTCTCTATATCGATCGCCCCCTAAAAATAGCCAAGTTGCTCTCTCACGCTGCAAGTCTTCTCTTTAGCTTCGTCACTGATTCGCGGCGTCTCAGACGATCCGCTAGAGAATGGAGTCCCACAAGGCTCTGTGCTCGGACCAAACCTCTTTCTCTTTTTCATCAATGATTGTGTAAATGGGTTGGACTGAGATAGTGCCATGTTTGCAAATGCCATAAAAATCTGGAAAGTCACCCAGAAGCTGCTGGTGAGATAAACTTCCAAGAAAATCTTTGTCAATTTGACGAGTGGTCCCGCAGATGGCTCTTGTCCTTCAATTTCAACAAATGTACCATACTGCGCCTCGGAAATCAGACCCCTACTACACGGCAATGCCATCTGAACTGAATACCACTTCAAGAAGCAGAAACTCAGAAGGATCTCGGAGCCTGGGTTGCAGAGAGCCTAAAGCCTTCTACACAATGTTGTAAGGCGGTCAAGGCTGCAATTTCGATGCCATGTGCCATCAAGCGGGCATTCGTAGTTTTCGATGAAGACTGCTTCTCCAAAGTCTTCGGTACTTCTGTAAGGCAGCATCGCGAATATGCAATTCAGGACTGGAGACCGTGGACGCATCAGGATTACAATCTACTCGAAAGGGTGCGGAGGCGATCAACAAAATTAATAAGAGATCAATGCACACTGTCATACGAGATCCGCCTAACTAACTTTAATCTCTATCTTCTGAGTTATAGGCAGTTGCGCGGAGACTTGATACAATCTTTCCGTATCGTACGTGGCTTAGACTGCGCCCTTCGGTGCAACGACTTTTTCCAACTCGCCACAACAACTAACCACCGAGGACATACACTCAGGCTGCGTGTGGCCCAGGGTAGATTGAATGTGAGAAAATATTTCTTCTCCAACTGTGTGTTGGAACCGTGGAATAACCTGCCCGAGTCGACTGTCATGTCTCAATCTGTGGAGACAGACATATGCTACAGCACCAAGCGGACTATGTGACGTTTTACCCATGAGACCAGTGACCTGTGTGAATCAATGTCTGCATTCAGAAAATGCTGTAATTTCTTCACACTTTTGCTTCTTTATCGATTTATTATGTACAAATTGGGAGTTTAAAGGCGTGAACCTAATTTCCTCAGATACACTGAATGTATAAACTTTTGCGGATATGCCATCCAGACCAGACGATTTAGTATCTTGTAGCTTTCACAGAGTTTTCCTTCCTACGTCCGTTATGAACTTCACCATGTTCATTGAATTTCTGGCCGGGGAAATTGGTCGGTGTTCTTCCTCATCAAAAGTTGACTCCTCGGTATACACGGACATGAAAAAATTAGATAGGAGATTCTTCTTACATAAGGTATCGGCTAACTTGTTTCCGTGATGGTTCTTTAGACAAGAAATGGAGTTTCGATTGCGGTTTGCTCTATTTACGTGTGCGAAGGACTTCTTCGGATTCGTCGGTATTTTTTTACTATTTTTGACTCAAATATTACTCGTCCTCTCCATAGGAGACTTCGATACCTATTTTGCTGTTTCTCGACTCTATCTCAGCCAGTAGTTCCTTAATTTTCGTCTCTTCATGCATTTCTCTCCTCTACTGTTTGAATTGCAGAAAAATAACTTTACTCCCAAACAAGAATTCGATGATCGCTTCGGCCCAAGGAAGTGTTAGAAGTCAATTCAAGGACTCAGTTTCCTTCCTTGATAATGACGAGATACAAACCGCTTGACTGCTCTCCAGTTCGGAGTCGGATGTCCAGTGTAACATGTTAAGCATAGAATTCGTCAGTGACCGACTGAAATATCCCCTGTTCGAATGAGTTCTCCGATCGTGTACAGTACATTGAGTCCCAATCGTTGTCTGGAGTGTCAAAGTCTCTAAGAATTATTACCTGTTTGCTACGGCTGATCTGCTGGAACTCTGTGGTGATTGCATCGTTCGTATCCCTCCGTTGTCCTGGGGTCTGTATACCAGCGCAATATGGAGGTCCGTATGGTTTGGTAATTTTAATTTACGACTTATGATTCTGCAAGCGGTATTTCATTTTGGCGAGGAAGAATCCGTGACGAAGCTAATGCCGTCCCGTATAAACATCGCGATACCCCACACCTACGTCCAATTCACTTTATTCGGATGAACTCGAATCCGCCTAGCATGACGTCTGCGTCCGCTATCTGTTCATTTGACCATGTTTCAGTTAAGGCTATGAAGTGTGGTTGTAAATGTGCCACGATTAGCTTATTTTAATTAATTATCTTTAGAATGACTCTGAATGTTTTGGCACATCATTATCATATTTTGGCTCTCTCGATCTCAGGGAATTGGTTGTTGGTTCTTGAACCTAAATATTATTGCCGTACATATGTCTGGTTCAGTGTCTGTCTTCGAATTTACAAGTTTTCCATGGAACTTATGACTGGCGCTGTGGACGCTCCATTTCCGAATATCCAGGTATGGACACGAGTCGTTCTCAAAATTACGACTTTCAACCACTGCGGCGTGACCGCAGCGACTCGTTGCTCTCACCAATCTCATAGCCCGGAACCTCATTGTGTCTCAGTTGGAATTTTGATAGCGGACGCCAATGATATCTTCTCGTCCCTCTTGTAAAAGGTAAGTAATAATGCTCTTGAGAATGGAACCCATCTTTCTTTGTGGAAGAAAACGCACATTAGGCTTTTCCCCACGCATGACGAATCAACGTACTTTGATGACTTTCGGCCGCTGAACACTCTCCCAGTAGTTCTGAATATCTTAGCGAGGTTGGTTAAAGATACGCTGATGTGTCACTTAACTGAGAATAACCTATTGAGTGCTGCTGAGCATGAATTCCTCAGAGCTCAATTATAAATAAATAAATAAATTTTTATATAATGCCAATTTACAGGCATTGTCAAGGGAAGCGATTAACCATAAATCCGACCAGCAGTGAAAAAAACTCCTGAGCTAAAGGGATAAAAATATAGTTGATGGTGGTTTTTATGGTTTGGAGGGCTCAGGAGAAAAAACTGCCGGCGGTGGTAGAATATCGACCGTCAAGAAGGGGGGAGGTTGCACGGTATCGGAGATTATCGGACGTCAAATTCCTTTCATTTAGTTGGGGATAGTCAAAGTAGAGGCGTTGAGGAACAGCTGGTGATACCGGCCATAGTGTTCAGAGACCACAAACGCCATCGCTACGGTACAGTCGATCAGAGTTTTCGGCACCCAAAATTTGTGGGAGCTTTTATGAATGCAAAAATCGAGTAAACGTTCTCTTAAATAAAGGATAATTTTGCAGAGTTTTCACACTCATGGGTAGTTTATTCCAAATAGCAATTGCATTTACAGAATAGAACCGACGATATTTAACAGTACGTGCCAGAGGCAGAAAAAAAAAGACCTCACGGTGACTGTTACGCCGTGGGTGGATATGATGTCTTAAAGAGGTGAGTGGGTTAAATGTGTGATTATATAAGAGTTTAAACAGCAAAAATAGTCCCTTTTGTAATCTACGGAACCATAACGGATCGAGGCCTGTAAGCCGACAACGTTCTTGGTAAGACAAATGTCGGTGTTCCGGGGTTAAAATTCTCTTTGTAAAAAAGTGTTGAACGGATTCTATTTTCTTCCGCTCAGTAGCACGCATGAGGCTAAATGAAAACGAACAGTATTCCAGACCAGGTCTAACGTACATCTTGAAAAGGCGCATTCTAATGTCCCTAGTTTTAAAACTTCGGAGGATAAACCCGGTCGTTCTACGTGCTTTGGAGTCTATCAAGGCACAGTGCTCCGAGAGATTGAGACTCTTGGAGTATGATACGCCATTTGCAGCACCACTGAGCGAAAGCCTGTAGATCGCACTTTAGGAGCTCAAACACGATGTCACGATCTGCCGGCTTATATCGATATGCAATTTTAAGATCATCGGCATACATGAAAGGCCTACCATTCTGAAATAAATCGGGTACATCATTAACGAAAAGGCAAAATAAAAGCGGGCCGAGTACACTACCCTGAATGACTTCACTCCTCACACGTGTGGGGTTGGAGATGGTATTGAAAATCTTAACTCGTTGTGTGCGAGTGCCCAAA